AAACACCCACACCACCCGAACCCCACATCACCCCAACCACCCACATGACCGGAACCACCAAGACCGCCCCAAGCCACCCGCCCCCTGAGCCACCCACGCTGACGAGCCGCCACCCGCACCGCCCGCCACCAGTGTGAAGGCCCCCCCCTCTCCCAAAAGACTGCGAACTAGCCCTAAACCCTAAACCCTCATAGCGTCATCCCTGCAAAGGGCGCCCAAATCCTCCAACTACCCCAAGCTGCCCAAGCCGAAGCCACCCAAGAAACTCCCTAAGCCCTGAGGCACCCTAAAATGGCGTGGGGTGGGGTCGGCGGCACTGGCGGTAGCCATTAAATAATCATAAGAATGAATATCCACAAAAAACTCGACTGCTGGTAACAGTACTATTGGTAGAGAGACCACAAGGCAGAAAACCAAGAAGCCGACAAGCCAATAAGCCGGGAAGCCCAAGCCCGAGATGCCGGGACGCCGGGAAGCCGGAAGGCCAAGAAGCTATCCAGCAGGGCCAAGAGACCCGAAGGCAGGAACCCCCCCCCCCCCCCCAACCACCCAAAAAAAAAAACAAAAACCTGGAGACCCAAAAAACCCTAAAAAATCGCCCTCCTTTAGATTCGATTCTTCGATAATCTGTGAGGATGTTTGCGATTTCTGTGTTTGTCATCTTTCTTTCTTGATTTCCAGCGTTTCACAGAAACATTAAGCGAAGATGATGTCTGGCAAGCCCTGAGGCCTAAATGCTGGCTGGCAAACCCTACAGCCTCAAGGCAGATGATGGCTGACGAACCCTCAACCCTGAAGATGACGCGGGCTAAGGACACAGGACCCGCGACACGGGACCCAGGACCCGGATGCGGGACGCGGATACGTATTATGCCCGGCCCGTGTGCCACGGTATGCCCTGCCTGAAGTCAGGGCCAGGGACCCTAGAGCAAGAAGAAGACGGAGCGCCATGGGTTTCAAACTTTGAACAAGAATGCACGTGTGGCACTTGAGGAACCAACTGCAGGGCTGCCTAGGAAGAGAAATGCTGCGCATGCTCCGTTCGCAATCAGGGCGTCATGCAAGGCCTGTGTGCGCCATGTGACAGCGTTGTCATCATGTGTAGGACCTACCAAAACGGATGGCATCCACAAGACATGTGTGGCAGCATGTGTCAAGGCCCGTGCTCATAGCAACACTGCAAACGTCCTCCCTCTTTGCCCAAATGGCTGCATTCGTGGCTGGCATCCACACAGTGCACACGACTGAACATGCAACTGCGGTCCTTTTTGACGGCGTGGCATGTGCTGAAAAGCATCATGTTTGACCGGAGCTTTCAGGAGCTTTGCAACGCCAGCCAGTCGGAAAACCCCGAGGAGTCCACCAACAGTTCCTTCAAGGCGACCCTTGCGACTGAGGTCGTTTGCAGATAGAAACGATCGCAAGGATCTCTGTGTGCATGGGCAACCATACTCCGCACCATGTCCAGCATCAACAATGGAGCATGCTTGAACCACACGTCGCTCTGGTCAACGAGACATCGGAAACCTTGGCAAGTGGGTGAAAAAAGGTGAGAATCCCGCTTCAGCAAGCTATCAATCCGAGCTTCTAACATGCAACGCCCTCTGCAACCATGCAGCAGTCTCGTCGCTGGAGCATGAGCTCATCCAGATGGAGACTTCTCAAGACTGGGTTGTCACGAAGTCCCACCATGCCGGGCCCAACTTGCTGATGTAGCGCCGCCATGTGGGCCAAGAGGGCATCCTTCCTCAGCTGCTGCGAGTCGAAGTAGAAGATGCATGGATAAAGATTCGGTGAGATTCGAGATCGGTACATGGTGCTCCGAACACTTTCCATGAACACATACTTATTCTGTTACTGCCACGGCTTTCGCAGGCACAGTCATCCACACCGGTTCCGCCTAACCAAAAATTTGTTCGAAGCTGCGTTGTAAAATCCGCAATGACCTTGAAATGTGCCACCATGTCCTGGCGAACTGTGAAACAACATGGAAGCACAAAAATGGGGCAAACTTGGGCAAACTTTCCCGTGAACTCCTTGGGATCCACAAAAGTACGCGAGGTTGCACGGAGCCTGCATATCTCGCGAACCTCAAAATCACAGATGGACAGGGATGTTCGTGGCAGTTGGTGGCTTGGACATCGAGAGGAGCAACAGCTTGCTCTTCGCCCTGGCTGAGTTGCGAGCGCGCAAGAACCTCAAGACCTCCATTTCCATTTTCAGGTGCCTCATAAGCAGCAAGCACTCGAAAAGGCACGTGCCGAGCGCATGTTCAAGCATGGAGAAGTTCTCCCACGAAAAACCTTAAACAACGTTCCGTGTGGAGGGCGCTTACAAAAGAACGCTCTCTGGCGGCATCTCCCCTCTCGCGAACCGTTTGTAGAGGCCTGGGCTTCTGGTCCCTATGTGTACTTACTGCGGTACTTACTGCTGCCAGGCGCCTGCGCCCTTTTGGTTTCCAGCTTTGGCTTTCTGGTTGACATTGCCGGCAAAGGTGCGCCCACTCAAGTCGCGCAGAAGATCCCATCTCATCAACGGCGGCCGGGCACCTTTGAACATGCGGAACAAGCGGGATAGCAAACGCATCTCAAGTAGCTTCCTCAGATCTCGACGTGTGCGCCGTCAGTACCTGTCCAGCATAGCAGGTCGTGGCTCACCCTATAACCATTCAGAGCGCATGCCAGCCTCCGCAGTGCTGCCCTGGCCCTCCGTGTGGCCTACCACCTTGCCAGCCGCGTCCAAAGTCCCATCAGCAAAGTCAGAAGCTGCAAGTCTGGCCTCGGGCTCTTTGGCCCTGTCTGCCAGGGCCCAACTGCCCCAACATAGTGTCTCAGGAACCTGTATTTGCAGCCATCGCTCCGCAGCACGCTGAAGAAATCAACGTTTTTGTGCACGATGCCTTCCAACATCTTTCAGCCGAGACGCCTGAAAAATGTCCAGCAGAGAAGACCTCGAAGCTTTAAGCGCCGCGTCAACAAGCCATGGGGCTCTTGCAGACTTAGCGCTTGCGTTTAGAAAGCCGAGGAGCCAAGTGAGCGATGAACCCAGGGCGCTGAAGTCCTGCAGATTCAAAGCCATGGCATCTTCATCATTTTCGATAGCACATGATGCAGAATATATCTTCATGTACGTCCAATGGCGCGGCCAAATTCAGGAAGCAATATCGGAAACAGCCCAGACTCAGACCAACACAGGAAGCAGTAAGTCTTTCGGGTTGACTTTGTGCCCCAGTGACCGCCTCCTGGCTTGCCGGGAGTCGGGGTTTATTTGGGTAGTGATTCTTCCCATGAAGGAGAGCCCTTCGTGAGCGCTTTCTCCCGAATGTGCAGCACAAGGACTCACGAGTTGGGGTTCCAGGGGTTGGGAAGTTTGCGGGTCTCGTGCGTTTTGCGATCCTCGTGACTGTCGTCACTTTTGAAGCCTGTTTCGCTGTTCACGGCTCAAAGGTGCAGACGATTACGAGGATGAGGCGCCTGGGTGGCGCCATCCTCGTGACTCCTGTGGCTCTTTAACTATGGTTACTCAAAAAGCGCTGACAGTCACGAGAATGAGGCATCCTCGTGACTGTCGTCACTTTTGAAGCCTGTTTTGATGTTCACGGCTCAAAAGTGCAGACAATCACAAGGATTAGGCCCGGGGGTGGTGCCATCCTCGTGACTGTCGTTAATTTCGAAAGCTTGCTTAGTCGAGAGAGCCCAAACACAGGTGGGAGGTAAACAAAGGGGAAAAGGCACCAGACGAAACCTCAACCGCATAAGGCACTGAATCAGCTTCCTGTTGTTCTCTTACTTTCTGTACTGTCGCAACTGTTGTGCCCATGGCCACCACGATTACAATTATTGCTGCTATCATCGCAACTACAATGATTGCGGTTGCTACTCTGCGTGTTGTTCTTACGACAACAGTTTGCTGCCACTCGCCATGCTACTGCGTGGGTCTTTAAGATGATGCAATAAGAGCAGGAAAAAGAAACGAGGAGGATGATGGGGAGAAAGATGACGAGGAAGGAGAGGATGAATCGTGCGTGCGCGTGCATTTGCTCGTAAGATGTGAGATCTGATAAGAGCCAAGAACCCGAATGCAGATACGCAGTACGTCCTCATGTCTTCGCATGTTCTTGCAGCGTGTTATAGCAAACGAAGATATGTACATCAAACATCCACACCTAATCGGATGTTGACCGTGTCCTGCTCGCTCGTCTTATTCCTATTCCTCTTCGTTTTCTTCTTCCTCTTTGAGCAATTGCCCTTCCCGCTCTCTCTTTTGCTGTCTTGGCCTGGCTGGGCGAAGTCGCTTCCTCCAGCCTCAGCCGCACACACACACACACAGGTGCGTATTGCAGTGTGCTCTATTCAGTGATCATTCTCACATCACACACAGAGAGGCACAACTGGCTCAGCCGAGAAGCTTCTCTTGCAACTGTGGGGTTGCAGTGTCTGCATGGGTTGGCGCTTGCTTCCACAACCTGAGATATTCCCACGAAAACGAGAACAGGCACACAAACGTGCTGCTCATCCTCTTCCGCGCTGCCGGGAGCGAGACCCTGAAGGGTTTTACTGGGGAGAAAGGGGGGAGAAGGGTACAACCCCCCTCCCCCCCCGTATCGGGCACATACGCTTCAGGTGCAAAACTACTTGAGCCCCCTCCATGTTCGCACGCGAATGTATTTGTTCTCTTGACTTCGGGGTTGCGGTCGACGGGCATGTAGTTTCTTCGTGCTTTGTTTGTGGCTTGTGCATCGTGCAATGCAGTGCCAGTTTATCTTTTCTTGTTGCTTATTGTGAATCATCAGAAGAGTACTAGGCTTGCTCTGCGGGTTTGCTTGAGCTTGCGAGATGTAGACCTCATTAAGCGTTCTGTGTGGCATTCGGCTCGTGCCGTTTTGTGCCCAGGCTTGTCTTGCATTACATGTTTGCTTTGTAGCGCTGGCCAGCACATGGTGTGCTCATGACCGGCACTTTCTTACTAGGTGGTGCTTTGTCAAGTGCTTCGCGAGGAACGGATGCTCGCTCTCCATGCGCTCTTTCGCATCCTTCGCCAGCTGCAGCTCGTGAGCCATTTGCTCGGTAAGCTTCTGCAGCCTGAGGCACCATTCCGGAAGTGTCATACAAGTCAACGAGTACATGGCAGGACTTCCCCCATGATCTTGAGGCACGGCATCTGCACTTCGTGCTGTAAACACCCCAAAATGCCATCGAACTTGGGGAATGTGTGGCGAGTTCTTCTGTACAGGCTGGGACATCAGGGATGCCAAGGAGCTCGTCATCTTTCTGGCCAAGCCTCAGCTGGTACAAGGCCGGGCCAGCTGCAAAATCACCGTGCCGGGGCTGCGGATGGCCACGGGACTACACAAATCTTCGAACCAAGACATGTGCCCTTACAGGGCTACTCTTATGCTCGGAAGGGCCAATTCTTAGGCCTTGGGCAACTTGCACAAACACGTGATCCCCTGCCGTACCAAACTTGGCACTGCAGAATCGCGATGAGAACCATACACCTATGAGGCTTCTGATTCTTGGGCAAGGAGACAGGCTAAATGCATGTGCAGTCACTTACCAGTTCTGGGACTACTCTTCATACAGGCGCACTGCGAAAAACGGAGACGTTCCCTACGAAACCATGAGCTTGAAAAGGCGATGGAAAGGGGATGGAGACAAAAAGATATTACAAGACTGCTGCCTCTGCTTTGGATCCAAGGGGCTGCTGCTGCAGGGCTGCCACCAGCACCGTCAGCTCATTGTTTTGAGTCTCGGCCCGTTGCAGTCGTTGACATGAGCCTTCATACCTGGGTCTGACGTCAACTCGCAGAACTGCATGCGGTCAACCTGCTGAACCCTAAACCCTAAACCCTAAACCCTAAACCCTAAACCCTAAACATTTGCATGAATTGTCAAGCTGTCGGGGCAAGTGAGGCGAGCTGCTCGTGTTGAAGCTTCTCCATTCTGCAGCGAGCGCCGCTGCATGCCTCACGCTCTTGGTGCAACTCTTCTTGGAGGGCACGGAACCTGGGCTTCGTGCTGTAAACAACCATGCCATTGAACTTGGGGAATGTGAGGCGAGTTACGGTACAGGCTGGGACATCAGGGATGCCAAGGAGCTCGTCATCTTTCTGGCCAAGCCTCGGCTGGTACAAGGCCGGGCCACGTAACCGCAAACGAACCCACGCAGGTTAAGTGCAACAAACGTCCAAGGATGGAGGTGTTCTTTTTCGTAGACCCTGAGATTCAAAAGGTGAGAAAGATGCAAGGACATCACAAGACTGCAGCAGCCTCTGCTTCACAGCAAAGGGGCTCCTGCTCCAGCTTTGCGACCAGATCTGTCAGCTTGTTGTTTGCGGTCTCCAGCTCCACTTGCCTCTGGCACGTGCCCTCATATGCGACCCTAGAACCCACTGATCTAAGCGCTCTCGGCGCTCCTCGGGATATCTCATGCACTCACAACCTCTCACCTCCACAAAGCCTAGGGGCAGTCCTTTCTGGAGGACTTACTCGGGGCTCCGGTACGACAACCCCTAACACACTTGCAGTCCAGTAGGGTGGGTCTCAAAATGCTTGGAGGGGGGTGGTGTGGGTGGGACATGTGTGGATCTAAGCATATCGAAACCCTCTCAATCCTCAACCCTAAACCCTAAACCCTAAATCCTCAACCCTAAACCCCTCGCGTGTCCGGTCAAGGCCCGAGGCAATGAAGCGTCAGCTAACTTCTTCTGACCTTTTTACCCCCCCCCCCCCCTGCGCCTCATTTGAGTCACTTTAGCAAACGAGGAAACCAGCTTAGACGAAGTAATGAGATGCTGGTGTCAGTTTTTGGCAATGCACAGATACTTGGCCCTGCTCATGCCTTCACACTTTACAGACTTTTGCATACTCTTGAGGCCACTCTCTGCTGGTTCTTGGTGTTCCGAATCTCGCGATTTAACGCCTAGCAGTTCGCAGTGTAGAAGCAAGTCTTCGCATCATGCCGAGGGGCTTAGAATTGAACTGTTGGGTGCAACTCTCAGCTTGGTGCAGCGCTTGCCACAGAAACTCCATCTCCACATGCGAGCACCTGGGAGGGGCAAGTTAGCACATTGCGGCTGTTGGCCGTGCGTTTTGCAATCTGAAGCTCCCATGAAGGGGCGTGGAAAACAAACAAATACATACTTCAGCTTTGCTGACGGATCTCTCTGCACTAGCTGTTGCAGGGCCGGCAGGCATGGGGGCACGAAAGCGAACATGCGAAGTAGTCGCGCATTTGGTTCTGTGAACGAGAGTTTTGCGAAGTTTGTGCAGGGTGGGTTGCCAAGTCGTTCGTACCCCACTGGCACGACTATCGCCCATGACCGAAACAGCACATGACGAATGTGAGGAAGATTATCTGTGAGCTATTCAGATGATGGTATTCATATGCTTTAGTGAATATACTGCAGCCATACAGTTAACATTCCGAGACAGGAACCCAAAGAGACAACTTGATTTACCCATCTTGAGTCAATCTTGAGGAGCACCCATTTTTTGATAGTATGATTCTCAATTCGCCAGCGAGTTTTTCACCCCAGCTGCTACGTAGAGACCCACACTTCCGTTGCAGCCTGCAGATCTTGAAAGGTCTTCCCAGGTTCCCTCAAGACCTGCGGAATTCACATACACATGGCGTCGCTGGCCGAGACACAAGCGCACATTGGCACCGGGCTCGAAACTGGAAGGAGCAGAGCTGGACCTAAGCATCTTGTGCAGTGCTAACATGTGCTAACTTGCCTATTGGCAGACAGAAAGCTTGAGTCGACAGATGGTGTTCACGTGCACAAGCCGAGTCATCTCCAAGAAAACCTTTGCAGCCCGGCGACAGCATGGCCAACAACGCAGCTCCCTCAGGCTGCTTCCTCAGGGGCAAGCCATATCGGCCGCTACCGTCATACCCAAGTTGCACACGTACGCGCGTGTGCATGTCCTGCAACAGAATTTCAACAGAACATGTTTGCAACCGGGCGGCATGCTTGGCATCTCAGTGTCGTGCTGCGACTTCATGATGCAAGGTGTGGTTGCGTCTTCCATCTGCGATTCCACACTATCAGCGATGCTCTGCCGACGCGACCCTTGCGTATCCACAGTGCTCGGGGTGCTCTGGCCACTTCTGCGACTTCGCCTCAGGTCAAGCCCTATGCTAGGTTCGAGGTGATCCGGAAAAGTGATGCTACCAAATCAGACCTGTCAGGGAGAGAAACCATATGTGTATACTAGCTAGCGAATACTATGTGGGCTGGCTGCATTCCGAGCACGTTAAATTGCATGATACGAGTGCTCATAATGGACGAGCAAAAAACAGCAATGGTTAACGGGTTGTGAAGCAGAAACGAACGAACAGGAAGAATAACAAGTTAAGGAACAAGAAAAGAAGCATAATCGGAAAAAGGGAAAGTAAGAGCAAGAGCAAGAGTAAGAGCAACAGTAAAATAAGCGTACGCATGTTAATCTGAATGACAATAGCAGAATGGTGTGCCGTGTCAGGAATATTTATTGCTGTTTATCGTGGTTTGAAGGGCTTCTCGGATCTAAGACTTTTCTTCGGTATGTTAAGTCTGTGTATGTAGCAGGGTTTGATGTATTCGGTGTTTACTTCGCTTTTGCATGTCTCAAGGCTTGGAAGAGTGTCTTGCTGTCAATATTTTGATTGGATACCTTGTCGTTTGCTTCGCTTATAAGCGACTGTTGGGGGGGAGAGTGGTGAGGGGGAGGGGGGTGGGGGTTTGGGACCATTATACCACACCGCTTCACATGGCGACATGGCGCAAGCCGTCCCAACTCCAGCAGCTCGACAAGGCTTGAGTAGACCAGACTGTGCTACCAAGCTGCTTCTGCACCCCCACCACCCCCACCACCCCCGCCCCCCACCAGCCCCGCCCCCCCACCCCCCCCCACCCCCCCGCTGCTGGAGACTGCAAGGGTCCGCACACTGCAGGGGCCGGGGCCGAAACCAGAGACTCTCGTTGAGAGCTTTCAGTGTTCTATGAAAAACTGCGAGGAATGGGCTGGGAACGAAAGCTAGTGCAGTTGCGCGAGAACCGACAGGAGAACTGCATCGACCGAACATTGACTGGAGTGCCCAACCCCCAGAGCATCCCCGAAGAATGCCTGGATTTCCCAGACTTAAGAGCATCCCACAAAACCCTGCGGTGCCCAACCCCAGAGTATTGCCAGAAAATGTGCCCAACCCCAGAAAAAGGCGCGAAGCGTGGGACATCACGGCATGCACCATGGCAGCCAACAGAACACTCAGTGATAGGCGTCCCATTGGCATGGTTTCATGGCTTCGTGGCTGCTGGGCCGGGCGCCTTGGCGTGGTCCTCTCCTCCAGGGGCACATCCCGGACAGACCTCACATGACCCAAATCTCAGTCACAGAGTCACAGTTGGCACCTCCATGTGGCGGCACCTGCAGCACTCTTCGGCCGGTTGCTCTGGCCAGAGCCTGGCAGAGCAGACTCCGATGGCGTTCAGGAAGGAGGATGCGCGAAAAGCAAGAACCAACTGAACTGTGAAAGTTGCAGACGAGGCGCCGGAGATGGCTCTCCGGCCCCACTGCACCCAGCATGGCCAAGGCAGAAGCACTGCACAACACGCTGATTGAACAGGCGAGGCCAGCAGGCCGGCGTGCCTCTACGAACGATCAGCACCCCTTTAAAACTTGAACCACGCAGGTGATGTGTAGACGAAAGGCAAAGCAACACAGGGGCTTGAGCTGCGTCCTGGCCATATGCAGCTTCAAAGCTAAATAGCAGCTAGTAAGCTCTGGTGGTGGGGTCTTGAGTTTGTGGTCTTCGAGCGCAGGTCGAAGGACCGCTGTCTGTAATTATCATGGTCTTCTGCTGGCTGCAGCAAGGCTTGAGCAATGTGCGAGCTTCGAGACTTGGACTCACAACTTGCTCCGAACCAAAATCAGAATTGCTGGTCACAAGCACCTCATGACCCTTGGGATGCCTTCTGGTCCAGGAAACCTGAAGGACGATGATACATCGGACCTTTTTGGCTCGCACCGAAACACTGGCACGAAGGCCCGAGCCTCCATAGGAGGCATCGTTTTCGACAATGGCTCTCTTTGGAGCCCACGGAAGTCGGCAACTGGTTTCTTTGTCATCCGCTAGTTGGCGCGCAGCTGGCCCTTGAGAGCCTTTCGGCCAGGGTAGGCTGGGACTTGAGACTTGTTCATGGAGGGCCTTGCACTACATCGCACTGAGAAGATCCCTGCTTGTGGCACCTGCCCCTGATTTTCCAATGGCTTCGTTACCATTATCCGGTTCATGTACTTGACACACTGAGAAAGGGCTTGCAGCGAACCAGGCCTGCACGCGATCTCTGGCCTGAGAGTGGTAGCAAGTGGTAGCAGTTTGGCCCACGTGGGGATTGGGGCATTTAGGGCTGCACGTAGGACTGGAGCCAGGCCCGCTGCCAATGCGGCGACGTTCCATTCGAACATAGGCGCCGCAGGTAGCGCCTGGAGAGCAGCGCTCGAAGTGTCTTAGGACGTCTTAGCAGTCGATCGCCGCCTCCGCATGTGATGACGTGCTGTCTGGGATTCGCCGCAGGGCCTGGGACGCCAGGTACTTCTGAAGCAGGCTGCCCTCAAAGTCTGCAGCCGGCTCATCATCCTCGGCGCAAGGCACTGTACTCCAGCTCGGTATGCTCACGAGTCAGACAACTACCAGAAGCCTCAAATTGTTTACAGCTACTGTCGCTATGGCTGGGAACCAGGCCGTGACTGCGCTCCTGGGACTTTCTTCCACAGCCCTGGCGCCAAACTCTGTGATCTTCGGGCGACCAATAGAAACCCAAGACAGCCCCCCCCAATTCCCAAATGTCAAAGACAAGAAACACTAAAGTCCAAAATGTGCTGGTGACTTGACGCCCAAATCCTCAGCCCCAAGACCTGAAGAGAAGGCAACACTCGAAACACTCTGCGTTGTTGAGAGCTCTGGGCTGACACAGGGCCGTCTAGGGGTCTTGTTTGGGTTAGGACAGGATGCTGGTACTTGCATTCCCTTCATGGGGTTCACCTGCAGAGCAGAACTACAAGAAAATACTGCTTGGAAATACCTTCTTCAGCCCACGCGCGAACACGCATCAAGCCTAGGAGTCCGTTCTGCCGTAGATAAGAGATATATACGGGCCGCACTCTGTGAAGGCCGAGAAACTTGGCGATGGCTATGATTGAAATTTCATGGCATGGGTACCCCCATCGGCCTGGGCGTGAGGCCAGTCTGGAAAGCCCCCGCAGACGCCAGGCGGTGCAAGAACTTCTCTGCCAAAGCCTGGGCACTGAAGCACCCTTGGGCAGACCTGGGAGGTTTTGGCGAGGTAACAGCATCCTGTTTCGCCAGTCTCCCGGTGCTTGGAGCAGAAGCGCTGAAGATGGGGTGAGGCCCTCGCTGCTCGCTCGTGCAACGCCTCCGCACCCTCTTCCATGGCCCGCTCCTTCTGTGCGCCCGAAGAAGCTCGGAACAAGCAACTGGGCATCTAGGGCTGTGCAGAGTTCTTTACACAAAGCCTAGCTGTGATCAATGGCACCGAGATGAAGTACATCCTAACTCACCTGTCCCAGGCCTCGTCCTTGATCCTCCTGAGCTGCTGCGAGAGCTCCTGCGGGTGTTCTAAGCCGCCGTATGAATTTCAAACACCCATGGCCCATGTAACCCCGATGGTAACCCCGGTAATAACCCAAGCAATGTCAACTGCGTCCCAACGTTTTCTTAAACACCAAAGGCAAATCCGAATGAAGTCACGTCAAGTATCGATGCCGGCTTCCCTTCCGCCTAAGCCCTAGATACTTCAGCCCCTTTGCAGGAGCCTGCAGTTGCTTCAGAAGGGGCTGGCCGGCGTAGGCCGCAAAGGCTGGGTCCCGAAGTGCCTCGAAACGAGGGGAGGAGAGTGATGTCATCTGATTTCGGTATCAGCTGCTCTTTCCTTTCAATCGACACGCCTGGCCTCACGTGCGCTGCCCTGCGCTGCCTGGCTCGACTCAGTCTCCAAATGCATTCAGCAGGAAGCAAGACGCCTATCCGAAGCTCCGGCCCGATTCTGTCTCCTCTGAGATCAAGTTGCATTAAGGACTTTTGTCTATCCGAAGCTTTTTTGTCCGTACAAGTTCGTACACAGGATATGGTATCTGCATGTCAGACTGCCAAAGGGACTCTGGCCTCCATGGCGGCCTTGCCCTTTCCACGGAGGTCGAGCACCAGGCGGAGGAGCCGCGCCTCCATGGGATCTGAGGGGTTGAAACCCTTCGGGACTTGAGGGATGTTGAACTTGTTCACAGGGTCGTTGCAAGCATTCAAGCTTAGATTATGTTAATGCTTGTGTAAACAGATTCTTGCTGAAAAATACATAATCTGAGGTATACATGTAAATGAAGAAATAGAACAAGACAACAACATTGATAAAAGGAACCTAGTTGCATATAAAGATACACTCTTTTATGTATGTATGTATGGATGGATGGATGTATGGATGGATGTATATATATATATATGCTACCATATATATATATATATATAGATAGATATATAGATATATAGAGTATAAGTTGCGCATCTTGTTCTGAGCGGGGGGCCCATAGGGGCCGACGCGCAGGAACCTCGAAGCGGCCCTGCCTCGAAGAGAGCAAGAACCCACTTGAGAATCCAATTTTGAGGGCCCCGCAAAGGAGAGCAGAACTCCAAGGAACCCTTTCCGGTCTATTGCGAACAACACGGGGGGGGGGGGGGGGGTGCCCTACACCGGGTAGCGGTTTGATAACCGACTGACGACTCATATGAGTCAACTTCTCTGGGAAGGCATACCCATCGTCATTGTGTCTGAGTACACAGTACACGGCCTGACAGTACGCACTTGCATGCCGGACAGAAGGACACCGCACGTTTTCTAGCCTGTGCCATGGAGCAGTGGTCGTGCACGGGTAGGAACTGGTACTGGGTCACCAACAGTAGGTCTCGAAGAGCTTCAAGAGCAGAGGCACGTTTCCGGTCGGAACTCAGGGACAAACCTCACCAGAAAGCGGAGAAAGCGGGGCGCTGGTGGCATGGATGCTCGTGAAGGTGTAGGGCCGCGGCGGACCTCAACGAGAACCGGGCCGTGGCGGGTTCTCAACTTCAAGACTTCCTGAATCGTGTGTCATCTGGTGTCTTCATGGCCGCCGCAAGAGTTGGAGACGCGGTTTCTAGCAGGGCTTCGGTGCATCTTTCACCCGAGCCAGTGGCCTTGAATTCTGCTCAGGATTCTGAACCCCCCCCCCCCACACTCTTTCCCTGAAGGGGCACCCTATGCCTTCAACCTTCAGGGGGCTCCTTGACACCTACGTCCACAGCCTTATTCCTCCCATTGTAGCACTCCGAGCCCCGGACCCTAAGGCAGCCACCAAAGAAGTTGTCCACGTTGCTGTTTGCCTGAGAGGGTCATTTCGTTTTATAAGCCAGCGAATCCCGGTTCTTCCCTTTCCCTTTCGACTCAAGATGCACCACCTTTTGTGGTTGAAAAGGCTGTGGGTTCAAGGAAAGCGTGCTCTAATCTCAGGCAAGGGTCGATGTCGAAGCTGTTGGCTGTCCACAGGACCTCCGCCCCATGCGAAGACCAAACCAAGCGATTCCTTAAGTGACAATGAGAGGCACTAACGAAGGCTCTTCTTGGAGCAGAAAGTCATAGGAGTCAAGAGCAAGAACAAGAAGCCCCGCGATATGCCGGGTTCCGGGCAGAGCGTCGTGGGCGCTGCGGAGGTCAGTGGCCGTGGGCATGGCAACCTCAGTGACCTCGGTCTCTGGGAGCCTCTTTAGTGTGCGGCACTCAAGTTTGCAGTGTACACGGCGCCGCAGGCTTTGCGAACCACACTGTGCCGGGTTGTATCCTACAGCGGGATGTCGTTCAGAAACTGGATCAATGCCATGGGAAAGCATCCTGCAACTTTTGACGCCCTGGGCCGCCAGCGAGGAGGTCCCAGACAAGCAGGCCAGGAAGGCGGCACTCGGGCCTCAGCGCTCGCGCCGCTCGGGGCTGAGGCTCGTGTCAGGGTGGCTTAAAGCTTAAAAACTTTCAGCCTTTCAGCCCCTCCCTGGCCCCCCATCCGTGGTGTGTTCCTGTTTGCATTGCCTTTCTCGCCTTTGCCATCTACTTCTTCCGGGTTGAGAGAATGAATGTTTCCTGCGCTTTGTGTGCTGTGCCTATTCTGCACACACCATGCACTCGGATCTGCTCCTGCTTCCTGGTTTCAACGGTCTACAACATGGAGTGAAAAAATAAGCAGCCAGACGTGAAAGCTGACTATGTGTGGTTGTTGCTTGTGTTGCTTTCTCGCTGCTATTGCGTTCTGAGTTGCTCTCGTTTTTCATTTTGTTGCGCCGCAGGCTCGTCTCTGCCATGACGTGCGCGAGATTCTCCGGAGGGTTCAACGATAGACAGCATCCGACACCATGAAACTCGAACTCACATGCTCAACATCCAAGAACATCCCAAGACCTCAAGGAGCCAGACGCTCAAACCCCCATCGACTCGACCACTCTCAGCCACTCTCAGCCTCTGCATGGCAGTCAAAGTGCAGACCGAGGAGCGCCCGAGGCCAAGCGGCCAGCGCCTTTTGCCAGGCTTCTCTGTAGCCTGGGCTCAGAAGGAAGCTGAGAACGGCGACGGATATGCGGACATGGGGGGACCCGTTCAAAGCCATTGCTAAATGGGGATATCACAGGAGTGAGACAGGGCTCCGAAGCTTCGAAGCTTCGCAACTTGCGCTCTGAGTCGGGGGCTCTCGGCCCTCCGACACCGGAAGATCAGCCGTGAGCTCACGGCCTGCCAAGCCAGGCCGTTCGACCCGCAATATTTCTGGGACAGCGGAGGTTAAGGCTATTCAGGGTTCCCAGTGTTCCCAGAGTGTTCGCGCCTGGGACAAGCCCTGCATGAGAAGCCGCTGCACCGTGTCCTGAACCTCAGCCTCTGCCTGGCTCGGTCAGTGCCCCATTCAAATTTGTGGGATCGGAGCCCAAGGTACCCTCTGCCTGAATACTCCGCTTCCAGAGCCGGGCACAGTGAATCCAAGCCTACGGCACGTACTCGCGCTTCTCTCTCTCGACGCATCAAGTTCAGATCAGCTGGGCTTCGGTCCATTGCAACCTGAAGTGGCTCCACACCCTGGGCAGCATGCAACAAGTTTTTAAGGAGGCAGCTCAGGCAGCCCATACCCCTTTCCTGCATCGGGCTGTTGCGAACAGACCGCACGGCTTGGACCAGCTCCTGCGAAAAAATCTCTCCAACTGCACGCACTCTGCTACATGCCAGACTGCCCAACGACATAGCGCGAGCAACACATAGCTCCCTTCTCCTCGGCGACAGAGTCGCACCGTTCCTGAGAAGCATTTTTCCGCTTTTTTAGAACCATCTTGTGGGCAAACGTTGCCGCCATGTATCTTCTATGCAACATGAGGCTACCTGGCCACCTCCCATTCTATGTGATCCGTCTCTTGGACAGCCTCTCTCAGGCAAGGCACCAATCTCGACAATCGCAGCTCGGCTGCTGCTTCATAGAGATCGTTCTCGGAAACGTTACGCACCCTTGCCAGCCAGCTCTCTTCCAGATGAGCCTGGCATGTTTGCCGCCTGCCCTCTGAAGCGAAACCCTGCAAAAAAAAAAAACGTTGTGCGCTCCCTGCGCGCCTGGGGCCAGGGCCCTTCCGCCGTGGGAAAGCCAAGCAGCAGCCAGCCCAGAGCGTCCCGGTCTGGGGACCAGGCAGCCCCCGGACATGTGGGCAGCATCCTGAGAGGCACAAAAGAGAAGGAAAAACAAAAATGTGCACGGCTGCTGCACTTAGGGGCCCTTTAGCCCCCTCATCTGCCCCTAAGTCGCTTCAGGAAGGTGGAGAAGGCAGTGGGCTCCAGGTCGTTCATCCGAAGTGCCAGGTCCACCGCCCGCTGGGCGCAGCTGGTGTGCTCTTGGGGCCTCTGCTGAAACGCCAGCACCTGGTTGCAAAAGGCTCGAGAAGGGGTCATACAATATATTCATACAGCGCGTAACAGTAATTCTGCGCAGCGCTTCGCCTGCATGAGGCCACGGAGGAGTTCTTGGCAGCTGGGCTCCTGCTTGATCTCCGACACGCTCTGCAAGGCGCCCTCCTGGCAGCCACTTCCACAGAAGCCTTGAAGCTTGAAATAACCAGAAAATCAAAGCCAGCTTTGGATCAGCCGGAGCACAAGCTCACACTAATGCCGACGCGATCGTGATCCTGCCTCCAAGCAGTCTTGACAAAGTCGGGCCACAAGCTTCTCCACCACTAGCTGTAGCCGATGAGCCGTGTCTGGAGATGCCGGCCCCTGCGAAGCTCTCTGCTGTCGCGCTTGTGATGGGTGTTTTGGGGTTCGCACACTGCAGCATTCCGCTGAGCTACAACGGACTCGACGCGGACCTCGAAGAGCAAATGCCTCAGCACCAGGATCTCCAGGCCCTTTGGCAAGCGGTGCCAAAGCTGCTTCAGCTTCCAGAAGGAGGCTCGGCCCTGGTTCAAGGAACGCAAAAGGCGAGCAATAAAGGTCCGTGGGCTTCTTAAGTTGGGCTGACCATCTTGTTGCTACGGCTGTGACTGCCGTGCCCCACCGCTGACTCCTCCTCCTGCTACTGCTGCTGGCTCGCCACGCGCGACGCCCGCTCCCGTCCCTCTGGCCTCAGCCATCTCGGTCAGCAGTGTCGATGCCTCTTGCACCGTGCAGCAGCCAGACACCTCACACTACGCAACTCACCTGTAGCTGTTGTGGCGTGAGCTGCGTTGCCCTGGTTCTAGTCACTGCTGCCAATGCCATGTGCTTGCTCGGGTTCTTGCAGGGCCACATGCTTTCGCCAGCACCTGCCGCTTCACGGATGCGACCCCCCCGCCCACACTCGCCACCCTACACTGCCCTACACCCCTCCCTCCCCCATGCAAGCGCAAACCATGGGGCACCTCCCTGGCCAAACGGGGCTCCAGGAGGCCCAGCAGGCTCTTCCCAGCTTGCGGTTGCAAGCAGGCTTCGAGGGCCTCCAGCGAGCCCAGCACCAAGAGCAGTGACTCTGCCTGCATCAAGGAACCGGGATATGTGGACTTCAGTGCCTCTGCCCCTTCCCTCCCCAGCCAATCGGAAGTCCACATTGTATAATTGATGTCGTCTACTGTGCGCCCTACGCCGTAGTGTGTACTTTCGGCTATTTTTGCCAAGAAGCGAGATTGCATGAACGATCAAGGCAAGGAGCCTCGGCACCACCCTTCAACAAGCTTTCCGCCGGCGTCCGGCCCGCAAAGCACCTGTTGTCTCGCGATGTCTCGCGCGCGCCCAACTTTTCCCCAACTGTCCGCCCGGGCCTCACGGAGGCTGCCACTGGGCAGGCCAGCATCAGCTCCCGCACCTGGGATCTTACTTGAAGGGCAATGCCTGCCGTGTAGAGATTTTGGACTGGCCCTGGCTTGCTGGGCCACGGGCCACAGGTGCCCCGTGCGCCACGTGCAGGGGCAGCCTCTGCAGAGGATATGCGGATCTACTGGATATCTCGAATGCATTTGACAGTGGCAATGGTGCTTGAGGGCGCCGCTGCCCGCCAGCGTGGCGCAGCAGCGGGTCGGCGCCCTCCTCCAGCAAATCCCGCACCAGAGCGACGTCGCCGGCCCCTGCGGCGCGAAAGAGCTCGCAGCCCAGCGTCACCTGACACGACACGGACATGTTGGACATGTTGGAGGCACACAGCCAGGCAGGCGAGACAAAAACACGCCTGGTCTTTCGTCCTCTCACCGAGCTCCACTTGGAGGTCTGCAACCAGCCCTGCTGCCAGCGCCACATACAGCCGCACCTTCCATGTCTCCGCTCAATGCTACCTGGCACTGGCACAAACCGACGGAACCTTGCCGGTGCCAGGCGCAGGAAACGATGGTCCGAAGTCCGCAGCCTGCTGAGAAAAGTGAGGAGAGAACGAAATTTTGGTGAGTCGTGTGAGTCTATGAAAAAAGCGCCTGGCCCAACCGCGAGGCTGGACGTGGCTCACGGGGAGCAGCCTCGGGAGACAAAAAGCATGCCACAATGCCCTGCATTTTATCGAAGACACGGGGCTGTGCAGATGTCGTCGATGTCGTGCGCTGCACAGGTAGAAAAGAACCTAGCTAGTACAGAGTATTAGAGCCCTTATCTTGCGAAGCTCCCGTCTTCAGCCGTGCCGCTGTGAAACTCATGCTGCGCCACATCTTTGGTGGCGCCATCGGCGGCAAGGGGTACCTTCCGGAAGACCTGCGGAAGGATCGTTCGGGAGTTTTGATGGTTTCCAAGGCTTTAACACGCCCTTCCAGCGCCTGCCAGAGAACTAATCTGATGAACACCCTCCTTCTTCCTTGTATGGGCCAGCACTGCCGCATTCTTGCCACTGACATTTAACTTTCGGCACTTACGTCTGCGTCCTTAATGTTGAAAGCCGATTCTCTGTTCCTGCACTGGCGTGTCTCCCGGTAGAAGCATTGGCTTTTGACTGCATGTCGTGTTTCGTTTTTGTTTTTATCAACCTCCTTCGTGTCTTTGCTCTTCTTGCTGAGCGTCGGGACTCCACATCCTTGTGGTCTCTGTCGGAGAAACAGAGGATGCTGTCATACGTCCACGCCATCCAGGCACCACTCGGTGATGCTTTCAATCTATGTGTACCAGCTGCTCTCATAGAAGTTAGTTCACTACTACCAATGTTCCCTGTACCCTCAAGATCCTGGGGCCGCCCGCCCTACTTGCTGCCCAAAACCATGCAAAACCAAAAGGCTACTCTCCAAAAACTACGACGCCCGACGTCCAGCCGAGCCATACACGGCAGTACTGCTCCCACGTGCAAGCAACACCCTGCCTGTTGGGGCTGCGGCGAGGTCGATCATCCTGTCATTTGAGCTCCGACTCCCTAGTCTTTAGGGCCACTTTAGGGACTTTAGGGACTTTAGGGACTTTAGGGACTTTAGGGCTTCAGGGTTTTTGGGGGGGGCCCAGACAAGACGGCACTTGGCTCACTTGGCTCCTCATGAAGCCAGGCATTGCTTGGCCGTGTTGGCCACAGGCCTGTGCCTGATGGTAGATACGAGCAGTTGCGGCGTCTGGAAGAGTCGTACTCGCTGCAGTGACTTTCTCACCCACAGTTTTGAAAGCCACTTGCGAGCTGTCAAGCAGAGGCTTGGTCTCAGGCGGGACAATCCTTGCATCACGAGCGAACCGCGACAGCCCCTTGAAGCCTGCAGGGCTGGCTCTACGAAGAAGTGCATAGTGGGGGTCAGGTTTCGGACAGTGTCTGGAACCATATGAGAAGCCTCTGACACACGAGGCATGTCGTGCCCCGAGGCCTGGCCAGCCCAGGTATGCCCATCGAACGCCACGCGGCAAGCTAGCTTAAGTCGCACTTCAATGGCTTAGGAAGGGCTTACGTAGCTTCTCAATGGCCTGTAAGCTAGGAAGTGCTCAGCAGCTTCTGTGCAAATGCAGTAGGGTAAGGCTGTTGAGCTATGGCTCTTGTCCTTCCCCTCCCTTCAGGAGGGAACAGACTTGGGGGCCAAAACGAGCGAAGAACCTCTGTGAAATGTCGCAGACTCAATATCACTTCAACGTAGAGCTGGCGCGACCAGACACAGGATGAATGCAGGGTCCGTGCCATTCTCGGAGGCCCGCTCTGACACGCATACTTCCCCCTTTCCTGACGCTTCAGGGCAATAAGGGCGTGCACGCAGAACATTCCTAAACCTGTCAGCATTCTGGTTACGACTCACGACTGCTGAGTTCGCAAATGATAGTAATAATATTTATACTATTTATACTAGCTACAGCCCTTGCGGTGCAAAGCGCTGCAATGCAACTGTGCTGAGAGAGGATCTTGGCCTTTGGCACAAGATACCATCTTCAAGAGTCTTATGTGTACATTTTGTGAGACATCAACTCGCTGCGCGACGGCACGGAAGACAGCCTGCAACAGAGCAAACCCTGAAGCTCGTGAAACGTATAAACCCTGCCGCGCTATTGGGCTGTCTGTGAGTAGTGTGGACTGCTTCGCCCAGCTACGATGCCTTCAAGTGCTCTGCAGCCAAGAGTACCCATGTTCATGTAATTGTTGCAACACTGAGACCAGCGCCTCAAGCAATTGGTGGCAAACGCAAGCCTGCCACAAGCAACAACAGTATGGGGGCAATCGATGTGAACTGTGGCAGTCCCCATCCTTCCGATGCTATACTTTTGTGGAAGTTCCAAAGCTAAGGTTTCGAGAGAAAAAGATGTGACTAAACTCGCCGAGTCATCCTCAATCGTAGCTCGTGCAAACAACACTGCACGAAGCTGCTGCTGCAAAACTCCCTGCCCTCCACGACCGCAGCACACATTCGAAGCTCCCTCCTAGCAACATCGAGCAAATGTAACAAGAGCTACGAGTCTTGAATTGGGCCAGTAAGCAAGACTATAACAAGATCACTTGCTGTTGCCGGCACATGCAAACCCACAAACATCTCGAAGAGCACCCTGCATTTCATAAAGCTAACCGAGGATCACGCTGGACTCCCTTTCCGGCGGCTCGGAATAGGCCCTCCGCTTCCTATCAGCAGGAGCCGGGGCTACGACAATCGCGTGAGCCAGCGACATGCGTGACAGGCTGCTACTAGTAGCGAGTAGCGCTCTGAGCCACGCGCTTTCGCCAGCGGCTTTCCACAACAGGCTGGCAGTGAGAGAAGTCGGAGTCCTGCCAATTTCGCAAGAATGCAATGCCAGCTGGAGTGCGGCAGTCTCTTAGCTAGACATCGGATTCAGCCAACCTCAAAACCCCAGACTAGCCCACAACAAGATACTGCTGCCACTACCCAGAACGAGGGCTCAGAAACAGAACCCCTGACACGAAGTGACCAATGCTCGCCTTGCACTTCTGCGCCAACTCACCGCCTTTCTGTTGGGCTGCCTGGCTTTAGGGTTTAGGGTTTAGGGTTTAGGGTTTAGGGTTTAGGGTTTAGGGTTTAGGGTTTAGGGTTTAGGGTTTAGGGTTTAGGGTTTAGGGTGCTTCAGGGAAGGATCTACCTCTTAGAACCACCAGCTCTGTGTTGACTCAGAGCAAGAACGGAGGGATCTCGTATGGCCTGAGTGCAAGGAGATCTTTGTGCCCAACAAACCCTTGTGGATGGCCATCTTTCGAGGCAGCTAGCGGACTGAAACTCTGCCACTGAATATTGCAGGATGCATTGCAGGATGCATTGCAGGATGCATTGCAGGATGCATTGCAGGATGCATTGCAGGATGCAGCCTATGATTTGGAGAGCGCTACGGTCGGGACCACCCGGCACGCAGTCATCATGAGCATCATCCGAGCCGCGACGGCACTGCGCTTGCAGAGTGTCACGGATCACGAGTGCACAGTGCACGCCAGCTTTGTGTCTCTTTGTCTACTCACGCGCAAATGAGGCATATAGGGCTTGCACTGACGCACGATCCACACAAGCTCTGACTTTAGGCTTCTCCCCCCGAAGCCTCGCGTCGAGCCGTTTGCTCGGCCTTATCCATTTGCAAATTGAACGGCATCCAGATCAAGCCCGAGTATCAGCCTAGCTTCAAATGTTAGTCATGAGTCATTATCAATGCGCTTCATGTCGTCCGGGCTCCCCACATGCAGATTGAGTAGCACCTCTCTTGCCAGCTCCTGTCAGCCATGGGTCTCAGCTGCTTCCACAAGAGCCAGCTTGGGTTTGAGGGTTCTTCCCTATCCTGGCGGCGGCATCGTTCGCTTTCGACGCGCCGGCTCGCGCTCTTCGCGTACCTCAGAAGGGGTGGCGGTGCTCCAGAAATTCTCAAAACAACGAAATGTCTGACAGCCATGCAGATGCGCCATTCTTGCTGCTACCGTTATTGCTCTTGATCTTCACTCTGTATTAGCAACTACAAGCCGACAAAGTGCCAAACTTGATTCTCTCAATTCGGATCCCGTGAGACCCCCGGCCGGAGGCCGAGAGCGCGCTGCTCCAGAGAGCGCCGCTCCTGGAGCCTCTGGAGCTCCTCCTCCTGGAAGCGGAGAGGGGAAAAAAGACTCTTCCCTTCTCTGTGAAGTCTCGACTCCGTCTGGGCCCTATTTTTGCCTTCTTTCCTTCATGGTTGCGATAATGGGAGTCCGCGTTTTTGGCTTCGGGCAGGACCTGAAGTCGACAAAAGTGTCAAAGCCTAACGGCCTGTCGAGTTGCTTTGCTCTCATCGCGGGGTTTCCTGGAGCTGCCCCCTTTTTTCGCATCATGCGCCCTTGGATCCTTGGAAGTAGATATAGTGACTCAGACATGCAAAAGAGTTGTGTACGTCAGAAAGGTCACGTGCCGGCCTAGGGCGCTTCAAGGACTTTTCGCCCCTTGTCTCGCCTACAGCCCACAGCTTTTCCTGCTAGGAAGCCGTGATGATCATCCTGTATGGGGACGGTGTTTGCTGTCGAGCACGCGCACTCGATGTGAGAGGTCTCAAAACATGATCGAAAGACGCCTTTCTGGCCTCGGCCGAAGTTGGGGGTAGGGCTAGAAGAATAATGAGAAGAAGTCGAGCCAGAAGCAGAAGTCGCGGGACTCCAATCCATCTGTTAATCACAAACAATATTATTCATGGAAACTTCGATTAGAGACCCTCCTGGCGTTGCGCCGACCGCAATGCACGCTGCTCCGATGCAGCCCGCTGGGCGGCGCGGCGGCGGTGAGCCTCTCAGGCTGAGGCCAAACATGTTATGCTCCCAGCAAGCACTAGCAAAGCCTTTCAGCGGGATGTTGCCGGGTTTACCGCCCAAAGCCCGACCTCAATTCCACAGACATTTGAACTGGATTTTGCAAGTTCTCAAGGTTTGGAATAGACCCGGTAGACCCAGAGTGAGTGGTCTGTATGATCTGCCCACCGCAAGGCTCTGCTTGTCCAGCCTCCATGGCTGAGGACAAGCTTGCCCTTTCGGCCTCCTTGGCCGCCGCCTTGGGCATCAAATGTGGAGGTTGTAGAGTTTAAGGAGCTTAGGTTTTGGGTTTGGTTTAGAGAGCTACAGAAACATTGCTGACTGCTTGGGCCGGGCCACCAAACAACCTTGCGAGATACCGGGCCGGTGTGCCGAAGGATGGAAGTCTTCTGAGAGAGTTAACATTTCTGGCAGGTTGAGCAACATGAGGATGCTTGCTTTTGTCTCTCTGCCCGTGTGCCACTTTACCATACACAGCGAGAAGGAAGCACGGAAATCAACCAAGAATGTCAAGGAGGGACAGAAAAACCACACCCAGCTGCTTATGTCAGAGTCTTCCAGACTCTTTTTACGAGTCTCGTCCCTCATTCAACCCCCCAACAGGGGAGAAAAGGCGAAGTCTGAAAAAAAAATTCCGGCCTGGGCCTCTTCTCGAAGCCGCTTAGCCTTGGCCCAAGGGAGGCCGTACAATGAGGGCACTGTTGGGATAACTCCATTTTCGGGCCTATTGGGTGTTTTAGGCTTAGGGATCTTTCGGGTCATCAGAGCTGTCAAGGTAATTCTTCTGACACGGACGTGCCGAAAGCCACAAGAAGTGAGCTGGTCCGAAACTTTGGCTGAGCCTTCGGCAACTTCCATGCCTCCGCACAGAGTTTGTCTGGGTTCCAGGTCATGGCGGAAGGGCTGGAAAGGGACTTCTCCGTGTTCTTGGGCATTCAATTCATGTCTGCATCACGCAGAGGCAAGGCACGGATTCTCATGGACGCTCCAGCCCAGTACTTCATGCTTTTCGCAGAAGTCCACGTTAGGGTACCCCGAAAAGTGAAGCACTGACCAGGCTCTGCAATCCAGGACCCATGCTCCGAGCTCTGCGCACTCGAGCGCGAGCGGCGGCCTGGCGAGCAACTCGGAACGAAGCAACGAAGCAACGAACGAGAAGACAACACAGCCTGAGTTGTTGTTGGCCAGGCTCTTTTGGACACAGAACGCTCCCCCAGGAACCTTTACTTGAATGGCATCATTCATCTCAAGGAGATCCGGTTTGAGTGCCATGAAAAGCAATGCGCGCGCGGGCCTCGCCGGGCAGATAGCCCTCTTGGTTGTAGCCTGCCATCACAAAAAGGCACACGAAATCCAAGGTCTACGGCTTCCACCCTCGTGATGAGCCGTGAAGCTGGCAAAGCTGTTCTCCATGCCTTGAGCAGTGGATTTAAGCAATCAGCACGAAGCTGTCTTGGACGCAGCTCCACGCATAAAACGATTGCTCTACCAGAATGGCCTTCGGCCCCAGGGCAGAGCAATCTACAGATGGAGGGTGTTCTTTTTAAATTACAAAGGGCCCCTTGGTTGTCAAAGACCTGACTTTATCGGTGTAAGAGGTGCAAACAGGGACCCGCATTCAGAAAATCAGAAAAAAAAACATCCTCCTTCCTCGAGGCACATGGCCAGGATGGCATGGTGCAGGGGCAGAGTTGAATCTCTGCAGATATGTACTTGCACGGCTGTCCCAATCTAAGGAGCGGCCCATCTCACTTCTTCAACTTGTCCTGGGCCAGACAGGCATGTGGCATGCTCAGCACCCATCCGACACCAGATTCTACAGCCATTCAAAGTCACAGGCCTTGCCCTTCAAGACCGCCGTCAGTAGACTAAAGAGACCTCGGTGAAGACGACACCGTTCATCATAGCCGCTCGTCATTTTAGAGAAGGCTTTGCATGGGATGGGCCAAGCGCACAGGGGTACTGCAGATTCAGCTCAATCTGTTTCACGGGCGGTTGTCAAACGCACTGATGCCATTCGCTGCCTCCTCCATGTTAGCTACTTGGACTCTTCGGGTGGATCTGTATCAGACTTGGGCAAACTGAAGCGCTCCCACTGCTCGTCTCTGCAAGAAGTGCGAGGCTAATGATGTATCCGGCAAGGGGCGCTTCAGATGTGGCAGGATCTGAGCGGCTTTGCCCTCAGCTGTGAGGAAAGCCTCAGACGGTCAAAGGGACAAGATGCAGAAGAAACAGCAAGGCAGGCAGCCGTGAGAAACAGCCCCCAAAGCGTCCGAACATGGAGCAAAACAGAGACGAGGAAGGAGACAGTCAGTTGAAGCGGTCTAGGTAGCTGTTCGGGTGCTCGAACAGCATTGGGACAACCGCACTTCTCCGGAGATCTACTCTGTAGACTAGGCCTCGTCGACGAGGCAAGTGACTGCCAGAGCATCTGAAGCAGAGAAGCTGCTTGGGGTGTTGTGTCATGAAGTTGATGTCAGCTGTTCCTGTCACTTGGACGGTCCTCTAGGACGCGCCTAAGGCAACGACAGCCGAAGTTGTGCGTTTTTGCGGGAAAGTGCTGTTTTTGCTGTGAGAATGCTTGCGGTGCATCCAGTCACCCTTCAAGATCAGTTCAGGAAACTGGCCCATGGATATCTGTCAACGCGACAGCAATCCAAGAGGCTACATACATGTGTGACTACTCTGAAATCTCACAGCCATCAACATGTAAGCTTGCCAAGGTGGTGTGAGCTCGTGCATAACTACAACAGCTCCCACAAAGCTCGGCGCATTACACGGGAACTGGTCTGAGCCGTCACACTCGTGCTGGACAGGTGGCCAGACAACTCCATGCAGCCGAGACACGACGGCTCCGACGGCCATCTGAAACTCCAGGAACCTGGGTTCAAAGGTTCAGGGCCTTGGGGCCTTCGGGGTTCGATGTAGGATTTAATGGCTGCTAAGAAGGCCTACATCCTGTGTGGATATATGCGTGGAGATGGCTGTGCCTCACGTAGCCGAGGTGCGACATCTCCTGAAATCGAGAGGAGCCGGTCTCATCAGTCTGCGACATCATACCTGAGTCTGCTTCAAACCGGGGGGCACCCGAAAACATCCCAAATAGTGTCCCCCCTTAACCCTTGCATCACTTCCGGCCTTACAAAAGGGTCTCAGCTGAGTCGCCCATGCGAAAAGCCAGCGCCGACTGTCGTGGCTGGAAGCCTGCTGATCTTGACGGTTCACCCAATCATCTGCCTACGGTGTAGTACATTGCCTGTTCCAAAATTTTCCTACAGGAGCGGAGCTCGAAGCGAAACACGACAAAGAGGAATCCGAAGCTATTTGAGCTGAGAGAGTGGACCAACGAAGACTGTCTACACTTGCTCGAAGTAGTCTTTGAGCTCTAAACTGACTAAAAACTCCGAATCCCCAAAGCGAGGTGCCTGTGGCATGCACGTCGGCCACCTCCTGGCATCAGCGGATGGCTGGAAAGTCAATTCTGGGCTAATCCATCGTATCGTCTTGCTGCTAATGACAAGCTCCAGGAGTAACATCTGCACTCGCAATTCCAAACCCTTCAAATCACTTAAGGGCTCGTCTCCGCTAAAATGGCTACTGGAGCAAAGATTCCAGCCGCCCACACACTAAGGCACGCATCAAGGATTCTCAGGGCCGCGCCATCAGATACTGGAACTCTCCGAGTGCCTCAGCTTTTCATCGGCGTCCAATTAGACAAGGGCCCGCCCTTCTCTGCTCTCCCAAGCCAACGTCCCCAACTTTTTTACAGGCCACCAGTACATCCCCTTGCCCCTGAAGTCCTCACCCTAAACCCTAAACCCTAAACCCTCAACCCCTGGCTTTTTTTTTTGTCTTCTGACCGTGGACATAAGAGACGGGGCGCCATGAACTTGGGCTTTCCCGGTGGCGTCTTCGAGCCGTTGAAGCGCTTGTAAATCGCGGCCTGGCAGCCACAAGGACTTCCCCACAGATAGGGCTCCAGCTGTACATGCAGTTGCCTGACTTATGTTCAGCGGTAAGACTGCTTCCGCTTGTCTTGAACCTACCTATCACAGAGAGGGCACGTGGAAAAAACCTCAGAGCACGCCACACTCCCGACAGGGCAAGATCTAAATTGCTGGAAGAGAAAAAGATATGAAGAGCAGCATGCGTGAATCGCCATTGCCTGTACCAATTGCCTTGTAGTATTGTCATGCCATGTCAAGGATGGGGTGGATTGATATCTATATTGCAATCACATATGTGCGTTCAGTATGTCAGCCTCATTCTGAAGGCCTGGCCAAACCAGATTATCGAGTCGACACGTCGCCACATGCTAGGTGATCTCTATAGAAAGCCGAGTGCGAGAACTCCAGGCCGCCCAGTTAACCGAAATGCTTAGGGATGCAGGTTCAGGCCAGCCCGACCAGCATGTCCGTATGCTTCTTGTAGAGGTCGTCGACGGCCTTCACGGGCTCAACATGACTTAAGACCAGCGAGACATCTCTATGTCTCTGAGCTGGGCTTCCTGTTTGGGTCCCTGTTGTGTAGTGCCCTTCAAGCGAAGGCAAAATCAAGCACTCTGCGCCTAACATCGCCTAGAGGCCTAGCACAACCACCTGTCGTCTCAGGCTCCATTGATGCCGAAACGCTTCAGAGACCAGCTTCTTGCTTGGCTTGATTGAATACCTTCTGCTACCTGCTCTAGCCCGAGCATGTCGGCATGTAGCATCTTCCTCCTGCAGATTCTGCATGTAGCGCGGTTTTTACGAAACAACTTCTGCCTCCACACACAGCGCTTCCAAGAAGTCGTTCACTTCCTTCTCTGCTTTCCTGCAGCCCAACAGGGGAGGACGACGATAGCAATGCTGGATGCTCGGTTGCACTTCAAACCGCCCATGGTCAAGCTCGGCATGAGGAACACTGACTCTCATATCCGTCATATCACTGTCCCCTTGCCTGCCCTCTCTTTCCAATGTCTGGAGGAGCAGAGCCACGGCCTGCACGAACCCTAGTCGCTATGGTTGAGGGTCTGCACAGATCTGCTGCTTCATGTTGCATGAAGAGCATGCTGGCTAAAGCTTCACGCGCAAACAATCAACGGAGAGAGTCAAGTGTGACCTTCGGATGCAACTTACGGAAAGCCTGGCCCCTAAGACTTTGTCCCGAAGCCTTCTTTACTTTCTTTAAGAAGGGCGTCTCGAGGGGAGAGCCCTAAATCCTAAAAGTCAAATCCTATTCGCTGGATCCCCACAATCTTGTTCCCCCAAAGTCGTATTCCCTGTAGCCTTCAGGATTTCGGGGAAAAGCCTTTTCGCTAAATCCTAATTCAAGAGAGACTAAAGGAGGGACCCTTACAGGGGACCTTAGGGGTAATGTAGGGTCTATGTAGCTACTATAGGGACTGTAGAAGATACAGAAAGGGATTAAAAACAGGTGTGAATCAAACGTCGGGTCCTTTCTAGAGATCCCTCCTTATATCCCTTGGCTAAAAGAGCGGGGTCCCCTATTCGTTTAGGATTTACCAGTAGCAATTCATGCTTCAAACGTTCTGGCAAAGTCTTCTGCAGCATCTTCAAGCCCCCCTTTCAAAGACCCATATATTTCAGTGGTCTGGGACGGTTTGGGGTGTCTACCACTGTCGACTGGGTATGGTGGAGGGGGGGTACCATACGCGTATTGAAGTTGCATGTTTGAAGTAGATCCCGCTCTGTCCAGCCTCTGCCATGGATGCTGCAGCCTCACTCGGAGGATGAGAGGATGGGATGGGAGGTACAAAAGAGGCAAGCTCATCGGACTTCTGGTGTGGACTACTGTCTATTTTCCGCAGCACTTCTAGCTTCTGCCATTGTCGTTGCCACGTGCCAGCTGTACATGCCGGGATTTGCAGAGTGGAGATGGAGGCCCCAATTCTGGGCGTGCGACGCCAGACTTGAAGAAGTGGTGATTCGCCACGCCTGCCACGTGTCCCGGAAATTTTTCCCACCAGATTTGCAGCCCTCAGCAAGGCAACTCAAGCCACGGTGCAAACTCGTGAGGCCCGGACGCAGGAGGAACTCGAGAAACTCGTAGCGCACCAAGGTCTTGTCATTGACGATTGCCATGGTCCTTTGTTCCGGAGGTGCTACAAGGTACTATCTTGAACACCCCAGCATGCCTTGCTGTACACTTGCTTTTTCGAGCTCTAATCATCGGACTGTGCACATACCCTTCCAAAAAAAACAGAAAGTTCTGTCGAGCGGCAGTTAGCCAGTTGTTTTGTGAGCTTTGGTCAGAACATTAAGGCAAACATTACCTGGCCCCTGGAGGACGCACGAAGAAAAGTCTTTTGCTTGCCATTCTCTGACTATTCGCAACTGCAAAGTTGTTACGCTCCGATGAGTCGAGACGATTTACCGCCAACCAAGCCGGGGCACTTCTTCATTTCGACAGGCGTGACCTTGGCCGCGATGAAGTTTCGATCTAGGTCCGCCACCTTCACAGGGGAAGTTGCGACGTGCCTTGTGCCGCTTCAGCGATTTATAGAGTTTTCGGGCAATTCGACATGTGCACTTCCGGACAACCTGACCCAAGGAATTCTGTGTCATCGAAAGCTGTGTGGCAGCTTGTGGCTACGCAGGATGCAACACATGCGCATGATGAAGGGATGTCCTGCCTTCGTGGTGCTGCCATCGCAGATCCCGCAATCAGCCATCAGTTCACCAGCCTTTTGTGTGTGGCGTCACTGCCGTGTCAAAGTCTGGAAAAACCAGTCCGATCTTGCCTGCAGCTGGCTGATGCCAAAGCCGATCTCACCAGACCTTAGGTGACCGAGTTTGAGACAGGCGAGTGAGGATCGAAGTTTGACAATGCTGTCGCATTGCTTTGAGCAACAGTTGAGACTTCGGACACCAGTGCATCCAAGGTACACATCCTGCGAGGAGACTCGACGGTAGAGGCACATCCTCAAGCAAGGAAAAACTCAATGAGATGAAGGCACTTGCCATATAGCACGCTTGAGATAACCTCTTGCACCCCAAGCCATCACAAGGCTCTACAGATAAGTGTCTCAGTCCTTGAGACCTTTGCCGGCGTAGTTAGATTAGCACAGCCCTGCCTGCAAATCGCTTGCGAACCTGAAGCCCTAAACCCTTAAAACAGGCTTTTGGTCCACGCAATCGCCGGCTGAGGGCAGTACAGCCAGCCGTAGTGAGGCTCCATGGCCTCCCATACTATGAGCTCACGTAGAGAACGTTCAAGAGGGCTTTCAGAGTCCCAATTAAGGTTCTGATCGTCCAAACCACAGTTCCCCTACATATACAGCCCTAGTTTTAGGTATCCATGAGCCCCCATTTATCAGCTTCAGGCATTTTAGGGCTGAGTCTCTTTTGGGTCCGACCCTGTAGCGGCCCTAGCGCACGAAGCCCTCGGTCCAAGTAATGCCACCCTGGAAGTTGCACCGACTTATCACCTAGCAAAGTCGTTTGCGAGGTGCCGGGGAATGTCCACAATTCATCCCGAAGCCACCAATGCCGAGCTGCCTTCTTGATGTCATCAATCTCAGTCTCTGGGACCTGGATGGGGTTGGTTTTGGCTTCTCCCGACATGAAATGGCCTTACATCGTTCAGCTCTGAAATGCTGCGCCCGAGCTCTCAACGACGTGGCCCAGCCGGCACCGCAGCCAGTCAATGCGAAGCGCCTCCCTGCAAACAGACTGGCTGTTTCTTGAGACTTCGATGCTGAGGATTTCTGGCAGCAGCGAACAGTAGCGCAACTTACATCGAGCAATCACTCGGCCGTGCTTGCCGTCTGCGTTCCTCAACAGAAGAAATAACCGACGAGCAAAGTCGAGCCTGCGCAAAGACCTTTGCGGGTGTCGACGCGTTCTCTGTCACGTGCTAGATTTGTGGTGTTGGCACACGTTCTCACAACTGTCAGTTGACTCACATACACAACACGAAACGGTATCGGAAGATGCTGGGACAGAATGCGCTCTACACCAAGTGTGAGCGTAGATTTCGATGGCCAAGTGGCGGCGACTCTTTTTTGAAAGTGCTCCAGAAGGGCGGAGAGCGTTTGGCCTCGGACTGGGAAGGACTTGGCAACATGTTCAACCAACTCGAGGACTTCCATCTGGAGCAGCATGAACTGAAAAAAACAAACTTGAGCCACGGTCCCTAAGAACACCAAAAGCCCTTGGCAACCCAACAGCCCAACAAGCCCACAAACCCTCCCCAAACTCCCTAAACCCCCAAAATGCAGGTCCTTAAACGCCCCAAGCCCCCGCCGGCCTTGGCTTTGAACTCTGCCTCGGTCACACGCGGCAGGAGCACAGTGTCACCATCAGCTGGGCCATCGGTGACCACCTGACATGGTTTAGGCTTCTTGTTTATGGCAGTCACGTAGGGGGTACATGGTCTTCGGAGTACTTTGTGGGCTTGAATGTGCTGTTTTCACAGATAAGCAGGAGTTGAAGCTTCTTCTGCCCATGCCCCGAAAGCCTGAACCCAAGTGATTGCAAGTGATTGTGATCGATGGATTCAAAAGGGGCTTGCAGTGGAACATGGCGGAGCACCCCGCGGCATGCGGCGGTCGAGCTCATCAACCCCTCAGTCCTCACAGAGGGGACTCAAAGACGAGCCTTCTGGGGCCCTTTTTTGGAACAGTCACCCAGTCATTACGTCTCTCAGGGTCTCTGGCTAAGCCCAGGAGCCTACACATGAAGGGCCGCTCCTGTTGATCACGCTCGCTTCCGTGACGCTGGCGATGAGGACTTGCCGACCGGAGCGTGGGGAGTTCTCCGCACCTTCGCTTGATTGGGAGGAGGCGACTATCCATAACATTGAGAATACCGTCTGATATTAACAACAATGACTAGCTGCGTTCAGACTACCACTACTACTACTCGTATTCACAGTGTCACAATATTGATGAAACTGGTATTGTTACGCTTCGTAAGCCCCTGGCTAACCACCTGATCTGGATCTGGCTTCAGCTCCGGCAGTTCCTGGCTGTCAACGATTCAACCAACTCAAGAAACTGAAGCAAACCACCGGAGACCTCACGGCTGACTACAGTGACTACAGCTTGTGCCTGGCAAATTCGGAGAGTGATCTCCGCAGGCACTGCCAGCTTTTCCCGGTCATCTAGCAGCCTCGGCTCTCATGGCGACAGGTCGGCCTCCTCTTCATGGCTTCAAGGGCTTCAATGGGAGCATCTCCAGCATCGACGACTCCCCGTAGTACCCCGCAAACTGAAAAGCTCCGAGAGGCTGGATCCTGGAGTCGACCTGAAAGATCACTTGGAGCCTGGAGAGTTTGGCAAACACATGCACGTGACGCCTGAGACGGGTGGTTCTGCTAGGCAAGGCCGTGGAGAGGAACCCCAAGGAAGCTTCGAACCAGCCGCAACCAGCCACGCCTATAACCCTAAACCCTAAACCCTAAACCCTAGACCCTAAACCCTAAACCCTCAACACTTATAACTTACCTCCTAGCTCGCAATGAACCACCCAAGGCTGCTACGCAGCGGCCTGTGTCCAGGAGGCACCATGCGGGCGGCCTTGAAACAAGGTCTGGGCCCACCTGCTTAAGGTTACGGGCTTATGAGTTCTGTTTTGGGGCTCAAGGGTTTAGTAAAGGGTTGAGGGTTTAGGGGATTCAGGGGGTTAACCCGAAGGAAACCGTCAGCGCCCCTCTCTCTCTTTCTCTCTCCCTCTTGCCTTCTTGTTTCGCGTGGCGAAGGCCCGAAGGTCAAGGCAGTTCAAGGCGCGGTCCGCTACAGAAAAAGGGGTTTTGCCACAACAGGGGACCCCTAAAGAAGACCCTAAATAGTAGGATTCCCAAAAACAAGGGGCCACAATAAGGTGCCCCGAAAATCCAAATAGCGCAAACAATCAAAGGGTGTAGGCCAGGAGTACCGTGATGAACTGGTTCGTTTCCTCTGTAACTGCGTACTCTGCGGGGCTGTTTTGAATGCTCTCTGCCCAACACCAGATGCCCCGAAACCTAATCAATCAGGGAAGCTCGAGACCCGTGCCTCTCTCTCTCTCTCGCTTTCCCTCCGCCCTCTGAGATGCCCACCATGACCACGTCTCCCCCCCTCCCTACAAAGATGATGGTTCTGTCTGGAATACCCGAATTCCTAACCCAGCCCGCCTTAGGAAAAGCCTGGAACCCCAGTGTCTCTCTGTCTTGTCTCCTTCCGGCCTTCGGGTCTCAGGCGCAGGGCCCGTCGGAAAGAGTCCAAGCCGGTGAACGCCCAGACCGCCTTGGGAGGATCCTCGGGAGTCCGAGTTGCCGTGGGGTTGAGGGATGCGGGATTAAGGTTTAGGGTTTGAGCTTAGGAGGGCTTCTGGTATCTAGGTTTCTGAATTTTGAAATCTAGAGAACCCTAGATTTTGGTCGTTTTTTGGGGCTGTTTGTTGGTCATCTGTGAACACCGGCAAGCCGGTCTGTCGATAAGGAGCTCGGATGCTGAAAAGCAAGTTGAGGTAGGAACATCCCCGCTTTGCAAGCAGGCCTCTCCAGGATCGTAGGGCCATTCAATCCTCGGTGTTCAGGGGTTTCTACACACGATTGTCAGAAACTCCAAGAAGGCCATACAGACACTGCCAACGATACCTATGATGCCTTAGACGCATCTGGCTTAGAACTCACGTGTTAGCTACCCATGTACTTCTATAAGGACATATAAGGACCGTATGAATCCAGAACACGGGAGTCTCAGCGCCGGGTGTCTCCTGGCGAACCCAGCCTTCGCAGGCCCAACAGGCGGACTTCATCTCCTTACAGGTTACAGGAGATCTTAGGCTCGGGCACAGGAACTTGAGATGTGTTGACGCTTTGTCACAGTACCTCGGGGTGCTGGGCTAGTTTGTGCACTCACCTCAGCTTGCAGTTCCGAGGCCTTAGCAGTTAGCAGGATGAAGGTTTCGATGTGGCCGCTCACTTCTGCGCAGTCGGAGACATTCACCCCCCCCCCCCCCCCTCCAACCCCGCAAGCTGACTTTGTAAAGGCTCCCGAAAAAACAACCAGACCCCCCCTCCCCCACATACCCGAAATCGATGAGACTTATGGATTGCCGCGCTGCGAGCACATCACGGCCGTTGAGGTCATCCTCGGCACCAAATCCCTGAGATCCATGAGCGCCCAGCAGTGCCTGGACAAGCGAGGCTTACCAGGCAAGGACTGATCGGCTAGGCTTAGAAATCCAAGACATTACATCCCCCCATCTACCACCAACCCTTTTGGCGCTCCGACTCCGACTGACACAGCTTTGCCTCTGGCCCGGGCTGGAGGCTACCAAACACCATCGATCCTGCGAGAGGCTTTGTCCCTTGAAGCAGACCCTTGTCTCTGACTCTCTCAGTTCACATCTGCTCTGTCGGCTCTGTCTGCTTGTAAGTGGCAGCTTCTACTTGTGCTGACTCTCTTTCTTGATGCCGACAAGCTTCGCTGGCGCTCGGAATCTTGGGGCGCGTTGGGACGCTCGCTGCGCAGGAGCGTGAGGGGTGTGAGAAACCCGTCTGCGTCCATGGTCGCTGCATTCCCTTGGCTTCGAGAAATGCACTGACATGCGTGATGCTTGCAGCCTTATGCGGTTCTAGAAGGAAGTAAGCGAGCTCCATACAGCAAATTGGAAGTAAGCGAGCTCCATACAGCAAATTGCTCATCTTGTAATGGCCGGGCTCACAAGTAAGCTGACTTGGCGGACTTCTCATATAGGAGCTTCAGCTTCTCCAAAGTCCGAGCGTCCGACGATATGGAGGCCATAGAGGGAGTGGTTATCACGCAACCCCTCGCCCAGCAGAGAGCAGCTGGCAGCATCCATGCTACAGTAGCTAAGGTCGCAGTGGTACAGTGTCGCCGACTCCTGCGGCACAGGGAAAGCATCTGGGAAGACTGGAATGCATCTGCAGATCCATGAGCTCCATCTCTCAAGGCCAGCGAGAAACCACAAAGCATGTCCCGAAAGACAGTCGAGATGGCTTTGGCAGCAAGAGGCCCATCTTGAGCAAGTGGGTTCCAGGCGACGTCGACATCAGCGAGCTGACCACCTGACATGAAAGGGTAATAGACCCCAAACCCGAAACCCTAAACCCTAAACCCCCTTTCATCTACCTGGGAAATGATCTTTCCCATATCATGATGGCCACATTCGGTTCTTGTTCTGAGTGCGCGTCCTCGGCGAGCATTCTCCAAGATCCCATTGAACAGGGCTGCCATACCAAAGCCTTTCTGCGGAAGCTTGTAGCAAATTCCATGGGACTCCCAAGACATGAATGAACTTCGTACAGGAGTCGCGTCTAACAGCTGACAGCTCTGGCAGTGAATGTCAAGAGGGCGACGCCTGCAAGGCGGTTTCTTCGCAAGGAGAGCCTGGCCAGGCTTTGGCTCTCGAAAAGCTGGCTTAGGGTCTAGGGTTTAGAGCTTCTGGGATTCTTGGTGAAGGCGCTCAATTTGGGTCTCCTCTGTGTACGATCAGATTTTCGTTGCAACGGGTGTCCCCTTTGCCCTCCCTCCCCATCCCAAACAAACACTTAGTAACAAGCACCCCGAAACTGGGCATGCCCCTAACCTGCCAGCCCGAACTCCTAAGAGCCCGAAAAGCCGGCCTAAAAAAACCCAAGAGCTTTTGAACCCCAAGCCCGAAAAATCCTACAACCCCCGAAAAAGCCCAGGAGCCCTAAACCGACACCCGCGATACTGCACCCAGAAGGGCCTCGTCATGTTGCCGTGGCCTGCGATGAGCTCGCCCAGTGCGTGTCCATCCTCGGGAGCTACGCCGGATGGTCTCTCTTGTTTGTATTTCTATTTCAACTTACCTTATCATACATTTTTTTCTTTTTGGACCGGGGGTGGGGGGGTTCAGGGCCTGTAGGGCCTGTATAGCAGGCTCCCTTCTCTTTGGAGTTGCCGAAGGGATCGTGGATTCGGAGAGTTGGTCACATGGGGCGAGTCCTGGATGGCATTGCTGCGCAAGTCCAGTCGCAGAAGTCGGGGACAGCGTTGAAGTCCTGCCAGCGGAACAACATGGACGCAACACCTGGACCCGTCAACCTCCAAACCCCCAAGTCTCAAAATCACAAAGACGGTGAGGCGGCAAGGAAAGCTGCAGAAGCAACGCCCCCAAACCGAGCAGCTGGCGCAATTCTTTGGGGGCATCTGCTCCCACTGCTCCCTGTGCTAAAGCTTTTGACAATCCCCCCAACAGCAAACCCTACCAAAGAGGCGTCCCGAGAGAGCAAGGAGGCCATGTGGCCGAGGAGGGTTCTGTCCAAGGATCAAACCAGAATGCCTCCTATGTTCTCGGTTCCATGGCCGAAGCTTTCCCGCAAAGCGGAGGCGGTGACGAGAACGCGAAAACGCGAAAAACGCGAAAAGCCCGAACAACGCGAAAAACAACGCATTCGGAAGCTTCAGGGTTTGGGGTTCTGGGCGCGTGTGCGACCGCGTGCCATTGCACGAGAGGAAACAGCCCGCAAGGGGTGGGGGTATATGTTTTCTATAAATATGTCTGTCTATATGTGTGCATGTCTATACGAGAACCCGGCACTTCGAAAGCCAACCGGCTACAGCTCGAGCCGCAACCTTACCATCCCCCTATTTGTAAACAGACTGCGCGTATGATGTGTTTGAAAGTAAGGGATTCATGTGGTAGTGCATGCAAACAGAGTCTTCGTATGATGCTGAGCTCCTAGCTGTTGAAAGGCTCTTAACACAGGGTTTTCTGGTTTGGGTTGAGGGTTTACGGGATAGGGTTTAGGGCGGTTTATGGGCCTGAGCTTGTGGCCTTCGGTTTAGAGTTTGGGCCGTGCTTGCCTTGAGACAAACCCAGACACCCAAGCTCTTGCATCAGGTTGTTGATCGGCTCACTTGGGTGTTGCAGTGTGCGGTCGCGTCCTTTCGCTAGGCGAGAAGCTGCATCATCGGTGAGAGCATTGGCCTTTGGCGGATTCGGAGCCTCTCTATCTCTTCTTCTTCTCCTTCGGCACTTCCTCTCTCTCTTCTTCGCTCTCTCTTCATAGCTCGGGCCGGACCAGGTCTCGGCAGACCTGCTCTCCATGATTGGGAGGGGGAGCTGCTGATGTTCTGTAGCCCAGCCAACAGCCAATAAACCCAACTGTTTTCAAGTAGGCTGCCGAAGTGCCTTCGCAAAAACATCTGAAACACCAAGTGGCCGAAAGGTCCAATCGTCGCAGTTGCTCCAGCGAGCGCTGGCACAGGGCATTGGCCAGGCGGCAGACTCCTGCAAAGTGGTGTCTGCGAAGGCCGTGCGGGGTGTTGGGGCCTTCAGGGTTGTTTAGTGTCATCATCAGAAGGCTTTCTGATGTTTTCACCCCTGACACAGAGGGAGGGGGCCCTGATTTCTTTGGCCGTGACCCCGAGCCCCCCGGAGCCCATAGGATGGGTGATTCCCTCGAGGTCGCAACGCCGAAGTCATGCGCGCATCCCCGACTCCCCCCCTCCGGAAGGGGAGCCTGGCGGCCCCAGCTCGTTGTTGGCCAAGTCGACCGCCTCCACTTCCTCCAGGTCAAGAGAAGCGGTCAGCAAGGGGACACGCAGCAAGGCTGGCTGTTCTGATCATGCACGAACTGGTTTGTGGCTTTCCTACTCTCAGTCAATCCATGTTGAGGCTTGTCCGATTGTCATGCTCTTACCTGTTCAGCAGGGCCGAACTCATAACTGATCTCACCAGGGTTTGTTATGTTTGAGCTGCATCGGGTGCCCGAAGCCCCCAAGGGTACCTCGTCCAGTAGTTCTGCAAGTCGTTGGACCCCCTTGTCACGCATGCGTACCTCAGCACAGCAGCAGTTTGTCACTGCCATTCGTGCTGGCCGATTCCCGGAGGGATCAAAAGCTCTGACCAAGTGTGGCTTTTAGGGTTTAGGGTTTAGGGTTTAGGGTTCGAGCATGTCTTTGATTGCTGGCTTCGGGTTTACAGGGCTTCTAGGCCGCTCTCAGCGCTTCAGTGACCGGGCTGCATCTCGCAGTCGCCAGCGCTGGATTTGGGCCGCCGGGCAAAGGTTCTTGTCCCTCAGCGCGTCAGCACTCAGTCAGCAGTTCGGTAAAGGAAGCATAGAAACTCAGTGGAACTCAGTAAACAAGTATTGATTCCTCTTTATCAAGGCCCAACATCGAGGGGCGCGAAGACTGCCAGCAGTTGGTCATCTCCCAGGCCCGAGCAGCACAAGTCGAAAACCTGATTCCAAAAACTCACCAAAGGGTTCGCAGAAGCTGTGGGGTTCTCGTGGAGTTTCTCATGGAGGTTGCATGGAGTCTACAAGTCCGGTGTCAATCTGAGTGGGCAAGGCTTCTCCAAGAAGCCAATTCCGCAAACGCCCCGAGGCCTCTCTGAACGCATCCCACTCCAAACCCCGCAAGCATCAACATCAACTCTCAACGCCCAACATCGCAGCCTAAAAAGAGTCATCTTTCTCTGACCATCAGCTCCCTCCACCAGGCAACATTCCCGGAGACAGCATCTTGGATGCGGCTGACAAACTTCGGTAAGAGCTTCCTGTCAGATCCGATGGTTTTCCAACATGGCTTCATGGTTTGGCTTTGGGGTTTTGGGATGTTTTAGGGCCGGCCGGGCCGGATTTAGGAATTTAGGGTTCCGGGTGGCGCTTCCTAAAGTGGCAAGCACGCAAGGGGGACTCCAGAGAGGCGAAGGATTCAGGGTTCAGCGGTTTGATGGGGGTTCGGGCTGCGAGGGCGTGTTGCCAGGGTTCAGGGTTCCAGGGATCTCGGGTCAGGGCTTCAGTGTTTGTGGGGCGTCATCTGGGGGAGGTTCACAAAAACTCTAGCGCCCGACGAATGCACGGCTTGGGGTTAAGGATCGAGGTTGAGGGAATCTAGATAACCTCGGGTTCGTCTGGCGATTGATTCGAGAAGCGGAGCTCGCGCTGTTCATCTCACAGCTGCCCTATCCCTACGCTGATCTCGTAGGGGGGGATGGCTGGTCCATTCTGCTTCTCGATCGTAGTCCTACTGTGCACCTCAAAACCTCCCCTCCAGCACGAACACACGACCCCCGGTGAGAATGCATGGCCAGAAGACAGCTTGGCAACAACAGAAAGCCATGGCGCCAAATGTTGCTGCAGGCAGGGCAATACTCCCCAAAAGTTGGGGACCCTTGTAATGGGCGGGGGTCCAGTCTACCCGTGCAAATCCCATGGGTCCCTCGACTGTGTAGCGCAGAAGAATGCGCAGAAACCAGCAGTGTGCCAGTGAATTCCATTTGGGGAAGCAACCCAAGAGAGTCCGGTCGGCGGAAATGCTCCGAGTTAAGACGAAAAGGCAACTCCCATCGCCTCGCGATGCATGCCCGCTCGTACACGGAGAGCTCTCCTGTGCACATGAAAACGCAACTGTTCTCAACGAAAAATCCAAGCTGGGGATGAGATTTCAGTGGGCCGGGAAGCAGGTGCCCAAAAAACAACTGAGCTTCATGGAGATTTGCCTCTAAATGCCTCTAACATACTGGACACCGTGCTGATCGCTTCTGAAAAAAAGGGCGCCACCTGGTGCGCTCTCTTTCCCCGTCAATGCTTTGGACTCACATCGATACTCTACTTGCGCTCAAGATTCTTTAAACAAGGACTATACGTCTAAAAGTAAACTACATAAGGATTGTTGAAGGATCCCCATGTAAGTTTGCTGTCCGAGTCTCGCTGTGGGAGTCCATACTCTGAAGTCTCCGAGCGGGGTAGAGGAGAAGGCGATGGCCTACAGGTTCGTGGCTTTTAGGGTTTAGGGTTTAGGGTTTAGGGTTTAGGGTTTAGGGTATCCGATCTCTTCCAGCATGTGCGCGGAGATTTCCGGGGGAGTCTTGGATCCAGAACCCGACTTATGGAAGTCGTGTGCACAGGTATCCTCCGCAGTCTTGCAGTCCTTGCTACTGGATGTCTCTGCCGATGGAGATGTACCCAAGCCACCCGCCTTCTCTCTGACTCGGCGTCGCTGGCCATACGCTCCAGCGCCTGATCCATCCCGGACAGCTGCCGTATAGATTACCGTGAAGCTGTGCTGTAGAAAATCGCACCAAAAGTGCAGCAGGCCTCTGTAGACAGGGAGGCCAAGGACAAGTTCACCTGCGAGTCGTGATTAGGATCACCAAGCCCTTGTGGTCTTCTGTTTTTCATGGATTCAATGAATTCATTGAGACCTGAGGCTTCGGGCGTCTAGAGAGGCAAGATGCTGGGACTTTGAGGCCCTACCCTGCAGAAAGCTCCTCTTCCGAAAGGCCTGCTTCCGCTGCCGCGTGGCGCGGTCCTTCAAGTCAACTTCAGGGGGCTCTCTGCGGCCTTGGAGTTTGCTGGAATAACCGAGGCTCCTCCACTGCCTTGGCCGCAGCGCTGCTCCAACCTTCCCGCAGAGGGGTGGTGGAACCTGGAGGAGCAGAGCCATAAATGGGCAATGGGCTGTGATGGGATTTTAGTACCTGGCTCTATGGCTTCTGCTGACGACAAAATGCTTTCCTTTCAAATGCCGAGCCTACACGAGGCTTGCAGCGTCCATGAGTCACCCAAAAGCCGCAAAGGCCGAAAACCCTCCGAAGGCAACTCAGACGCGTGTTCGTGCCCATCGCTTGGAGGGTGCCCGGGTCAGTGTACCTTCTTCTGGCTTTTGGGAGCTCAGGGGCAGCCTGGGAAAGGCGCACAGACAGTGGTGGACAGAAACCTCAATGTTCTACAAAAGGCAAAAAATAGCTGAGGCAAGCTGCTGTAGGCTTCGTGAGGGTCCAGCTTCGGGCCACCTACGAAACAGCAGAGGCATCGCATCCCAAGAACACCGAAGTGGCACGCTGCCAACTCGGCAGTGACTTTATGGCTCCAGCCCTGAAGGGATCATTTTCGATGCGGATACATGCGTAGCCTGCGTAGCGGCCTTCTTCGATGCCCAATCTGGCTCTGATGCATAAGAAAACCGTCGTCATTGACTCGCAAAAGGAAGCTGGCTCAAGATCACTTCGCACAACTGTCAGTGGGCTTAAGCACACACTGGCTTCAAATGCCGCTGTGCGGCTTGCGGGGGTGGCCGAGCCAGTAGTCGGGGTCTCCTTGGTTAAGTAGCCAGAAAACAGGAACAGGGAGCCGGAGGCCGGAAGCGTTCGGTGTACTCGTTTGATGAAAGTTGTCGTGGCAGGAGTGCTGCATCCCCGATTATCCCTCAAAGGCGGGTGGTGGGGCCTCAGCACGTGAAGTCCTGGCCTTCGGCACCAGCACAGGCTGTGCGATGAACATGAACTCTGAGGCGTCTTCTTTTTTGTCGGTGCTCTGCGGCTTTCCGGGGTGTTCTTCTGCTTTGCAGCTTTGCGGCTGGCGAGTCGAAGTTCTCCACTCGAAGTGATGCCGTCGACTCCCCTTCCAAGGTCCCCGTCTCCCATGAAGCACTTAGGACAGTTGTGACCCTACCCTAGTTCACTCAGCATGCGCCAGACGAAAATTCAGGGGAAACTAGCTTCATGGAACTTCATTGCGAAGGAGAGGCCCAGTGAAAAGCCTGTCCTCGTGCCAATCGGCGAACCGTAGGCAGTTCTGCACTCTGACTGGTGCGGAGGGTGGTGGCGCCTCTCAAACCAAAAGCACTTTGAGTCATGCTCACGAACGGATCACTGACCAGAAGGGCTCTCGCACCCAGAAAGAAGCACCAAGAAGGATCAGGAGGACCCTCGAATAACCCCCTACCCCCTAAACCCTGCAGACGAAGGCAAGGCAAGGCCTGCGTCTGGAAGCGGCTGCAGCCCTGCATTGGACTTCAGCCGAGTCCTTCCGAAGGGAGGGCGCTCCGCTGCTGAGGTGGCTACTAGGGTCCGTCAGGCTGGGGCATATGTCATGTATGGCATCACTGACGTGGCACCAAGATGATACATGTATAAATACAAAATAAAGAAATCAAAACAAATGAAAAATAATAAATAAGAAAAAAGCAAATTAAAATTAATTACTTACTTATATATATATATATGTATATGATCTAGAATGAAACATATAGATAATTGCAAAACATGACCGGTGCACCGCTGAAAACGATTGTTGCATTGATGTTTGGGCGGTTCGGGGCGGTGCATTCCGTGCACTGGTGAAGACCGCGTCCTTCGCGGCAGGGGCTCCTTCCCTCGCGGCGGCAGCGGCCCTGGCACACCCGAATTGGCTCCAAGAGCTGAGTAGCCCCTTGTTGCGTCTCCTCCCCCTTCTGTTTCCCAGACCCTGCAACCCCAAACTCCAGAGACAAGGACCTCAGGCCCTAAGCGCTGAAGGCCTTCTACGATTGAGTGTAAGTGAGTGCTCCTAAATGCGCAAGGCAAGAAAACGGTGGAGCCTCGCCTTGAGGCCCGAGTCGTGGGCCAGGGCCGCTGGGCGAGGTCGACACGTTGTGCATTTGAGCTACGGTGTTTTCAATGAATGCCCAATATGAGACAAAATAGTTACGGCTACGGATCTTGTGATGTTGGGATAACGTTGGATGCCGAGCAGTCGGGCTGGTAGATGCCCGTGAGGCTTGGTGGGGCTTGGTCTTTCGGGTATGCTGTCCATGTCCGGAGTTGATCGGTGAGACGGCTTGAGCCGAACGCCGCGCAAAACGTTGAAACACCCAGAGGAATACCTTGAATGAGCCGATGGCCGAAGCATGCCATGGCTTCTTCCACTTGAGTGGATGCAAAGAATGCGAAGAATTGAAGGCTCAACCCAGCATGGACCCCACCTGCGCTTGGCGCACACGCCGGTGCCTTGGCTCAGAGCAACAAGGGGCTTTACGATATCAGGGGTACCCTATTGGGGTCCTCACCTATTTTCGTGAACCCCCATAATGCTGCAGATTACGGGGATAAAGCTGGAATTATCTATCGCGAGCATGCTGTAGGGTGATCGGCATGATTTTGGCAATAAGCCTGCCGGTTAGAGTAACCTGCGAGCCCATCATCCCTCATGCTACACTTTGTATTGCCAGGCCCTGATCATGATTAAGTTGACGCATCAAGTCGCTCACCTCGAGACACTGAGCCCTCATCCCCCCCATGTGGGCTTCGCCTTTTAAGGTTCCTCCCATGGCACGCAGGCTCAACTGGCACTCCTTTGTGAAACCTGCTGGCATCTGCGAATTGGATGCCCCTGCGAACCTGGTTGGGAGGGAAGATATGAATAAGAACTGTAGCCAACACCTTTACATACCTTCGCTCGTTTTGCAGCCCATCTGTGAAACTCCCTGCAATTGGTATGGCCTCTCGCTGGGCCAGCTGCACGCAGAGTCTCGTGTCGAGGCTGCTGCGAAGTGAATCAATCTGGGGGCTTTGATTGGGCTTAGTTCCGTGGTCAAGCAGTCTCAATCAGCCTGTCGCCAAGACCCCCCTATTCTGGAAGTAAGTTCTCTGGGCACTCGCTGACGAGAACCCCATCAGTCGAGATCAGCATTAGCAGCGGGAGCGGGCCGCAACCTCGAGGCTAGCATTGGCAGTGCGACAACGAAGGCAGTTTTCTATGGACCAGCAACAAGATCAAAGGGCGGCCAAACAGGTGAGGATACCCTCCTGCGCCCAAACCGAACATGATCTTCCGTGTCAGAAGGAGGATTGATTCGGGCTATCTTCAACTTCGAGGGCTCCCTGCTTATTAAGTGGTTCATCTGTGAAGTTCTCTTGTGAACCCGAGTCGATCTCAGTTGCAAAGTGCAACTGACCTTTGATAGAGCCGGATTGCTACTTCAACCTGCACAGTGCTCTGTCTTGTTGCAGATCTGAGGCGCCTTAGAAGAAGTCAAACTTCGCTTGCGATCTTCTCTCTGCACGCTGGCTCTGCGGGGCGTCTGCCTGCCGCAAGCAGCGCCGGTCATCCAAGAGGTGACAAGAAGGCTCCCGCCTAAGGGCCCTGAGTTCAACTTCCCTCTGGTAAACGTCCCTACTGAAGGGTCCTGTTCGGGTCTCTATCAGTGGTCTTCGGCCTCGCAGATCCGAGGCGCCAGACTCCGAAGATCTCTCCTTGGGACAGCGCAAGAGAGCAAGAGACCGCACGCCTGTAGCCTCTTTGCCCTTCCCTTCCTTATAGCCTCACAAAAAGACCCTAAGCCATAGGAAGGGCATGTGATAGGACCAAAAGATCGGATGTCGCAAGTCTTGGCTGAGCTTCTGCAGGTTGTCAATCTGCTTCGTCACGACGAAGAACTGTGGGGCGTTCCACTCATCCAGCATCTGGAGCTTGAAGCCTAGACGAGAGAACTGCTGCCAAACGCCGGCAAGTTACCATATGACTGCGGCGGAGCCTCCACCTCCACCTCCTCCCAGCAGGCCGCCGCCGCCCTCTGCTTCGTTCTTGTTCACTTGCTTGGCCTCAGGCTTAGCGAAGAAAAACATAGGCATTTTGCAGGTCTTTGAGGGACCTTCACCAGCAGAACTATTCTTTACTTCGACTGGTGGCGCCGATTCTCTCTGTCCGAGCGGCCACCACGTTGCCGGCAGCAGCACCGGCGGCACCTCTCAAGTGCTTCCAAGGTCGTTTTTTTGTTTTTGTTAATTTCAGTCGGGTGTTCTCGGAGTGAGCAGTTTGCCTCAGGGTGCTTCTTGATTGATAGATCGGAGCTGAGACGTCCCAACACCAAGATCTCCAGTGGAGATGCCCCCCCCCCCCCCCCAAAAAAAAAAAAAAAGCGTGTCTGCGCCGCAGCTTGTCACCAGCCTCCAAGCAGACCCGCCATCTTGCAGTTCATATTGCAAATCTCCTTCTCAATGGTGTCAACCTTGCCATTGGGGGCAGCGACACTTTGAAATCTTCTTGCAAGCTCAAGACGCTTCGAACAAAAACTGCGCACAAAACTCTCGAGCTTTCGCCTGCTTCTCCATTTTCTTCATGCTATCTTCCTCCTCTTCCTCCTCCTCCGCGTCTTTCCTCAGGACGAGGGAAGACCCGAGCGAACGGAGGCTTTAGAGTCTCAGAGGAGGCTTCTGAAACCCTAAACTTCGGAATGTCACCGCGAGAAAACCTTATCGGCCAGGTCTCTCATCCTTCTTCATCAGCATACCTGGACATGTTCTGGGCATCTGGGTCTGCGCTTTGCTCACACTCACGTGGCCGCGACATGGAGCCCCCAGCAGAACTTCCCGAACAAATCAGGCGAGTTCAAAAAAGAAGTCAGACTCGAAGCAAAGTGGCTGAAGGGATTCATCGCTCCGATCATGCCAGAGAGTGCACCGGTAGCACCTCCCGGGCACTTGGAGGCACCTCGGCGTGGACTCCAAGGTTTTTGGAGAATCTTGGTCCCCCATTTCCACTTCCAGCCCCCTTCTATTTAGGGCCGTATTAGGGCCCTCGCCAGGGCAACACAATTAGCTCAGAGACCCCGAGCCCTTCAACGTCCCCGAAGCCCCCTGCCCCCTTCTTTTCTCAAGGCGCAGAGGAGAAAGGCGAGGCCGCCGCCGGCAGCGGCACCTCCGGCCATGGCCACACCTGAAATCCCCAGGCACGTCCTCCTCTACTTCTCAGCGCGCGCGTGTTCTAGGCGGTAGCCGGCTGGCACTTTCGGCGTCAGAACCAGCACACTTCGGTTCCACTAATTAGACTGGATTCTCGAGACTTCTCTACTGCTCCCAAGGTGCCTGTATTCACCATGAGTGAAGTTGGCTCTTCGGCCTGAGAGAAGACTCAGAGAAGAGGTCCCCCATGCCGCTACCCTGCAACATCCTGTAACAAGCCATCGACTACCTGGCCAGGGGAACTGTCTGAGTTCTATTGCTCCATGACGAGCTTGGGCTGATGAGTGGAGTTCCTATAGCTTTCGAGCGAGTTTTTCGAAGCGCCTGGGTGTAGAGCCCTCCTCCTGGGCCGAGGACGGTCCTCGGCTTGGCTTTGCTCAGAAAACTGGGGTTGCCCAAAAACGGAGAACGGGGGGGGGGGGGGGGTTGGGGAATTCCAATAGAAGCAACGCAGTGTTTTCGAGGTATACTGGGCACCCCGTATTTGCGGCAGTGAACAAGCTCTTCCACGGTTAAACTTGTAAAGAAGTGCATTTGCACAAGCTACCGCCGCCATGACCACCCTAGTCCCTGAACTAGGATCTTGGGCGTGGTTCTGCTGGTGACTTCTAACTTCATGCCTTGACCGAGCTCTCACCTTCGCTTCCTCCACTCTGACCTGCTACTACGACATCACACATCTGATTGTATACTAATGTGATCATATAGTCATACGTGTATACTGCCAACATATTTCAATCTTCAGAACCTCCCAGGCCATGGGGCTTCAACACAGGCGCAGTTGCCATGTCTCAGGCCAGGAGGCTCTGGCCTGTTCCGGGCATTGGTTTGGAGCTTGGGGTCGCAGAGTCTCATCTTCAGCTCCCTACGACGCAACACAAGGAAGGGAATGTCTCTTGCCATCTACCCGCGCCCCACTTCGAAAGCATTCGTCCGGAGCCCAGTTTAGCTCACTCCGCTCTTCAGTAGCCTCTTTCAGGCCGCACTGGCCGATCGGACGCTACATGAAGGCCACTCAAGGCCAGTCTTGAGCCGACTTCAGGAATGATCGAGACGCGTGTGGGCAAAACTCAGCGTTTTCAAAGGGCAACCTCAAGGTTGAAAAGGAACTTCGTGGTTGAGTGGCTATAAGAAGCATGTAACGCACTGAATTGGTGTCTGTCCTGTGTGCTGTAACGACGCGTGCCCCGAGAAGTGGAGCAGTGGCATCAAGCGCGCAGTTGCAGCCGTCATGCTATGCCTGCTGCCCTGCCTGAAACACCTGTCTAGTGCTGAGATCGTGCTGTATCAGCGCAATGACTAGACCCGTAGCCCAGCCGTTGTGTGATGAAGGCAGCTTGCACTGGCATCCAGGTTCCCAACTTCGGGCCTGGCTCCCACTGGTGGCAGCCGAGATCTGTCAATGTGCGGTCACACATCTCCGATAAGGCTCAACGAGGAGTTTTAGGAGGATTTTTTGTCGATTTGTGGATTTGGGCACCTAAATTTCGAAAGGGCCGTATCGCGATCGGAGCAACTTCGTCTCCTCGGACGCCTTCGACTAAGCCCTTGAAGCGCTTCCGGGACTACCAAAGGACCACCACTCTATTGTCATCGGATACTATGGTGTAGCACGTGGCCACGAATGATACATGCTAGTCGCATCATCGAGCCCTGGGCGCCGTGCCGCTTTTGGCCCAGAGGCTTCGAGGGCTCCTGAATGATTCAACGCTAAAGATGCTTAAGCACGCAACAGACGCTCAAGTTGCAAGCGTCCGAAAAACCTGACGAGTTTGTGGACACCGGTTGCCGGTTGAATCAGATTGTCACTCATTCGTCCCTCTGCCAAGCTTGTGTGGACCAAAGTCGAGCTGGTTGTTTTTGACGCAAAGTCGGCGCTGTGAAGGTCGTGAACGTTGAGGGAGGAGGAAGGGGTACGAGTCGGTATGACTGCAAGAGCTTCTACCATTCCAGCGACTGCATCGAAGAAATGCGCATGTTGGCAAGATGGCTTCTCCAAGCGACAAAGAGACTATTCACGTGGACTACTATGGTCTCTCCTTTGGGAACCCATATAGTGGTCACATGGCTTAGTTGCTGAGTTCATGAGCCCCAAACGTACACTTCAGTTCTTTGAGAGATGATAGTATCCCAAAAAATGCAAAGTGTACTTGCAGCAACTAAGACAAGGAGAAAAGCGACGCCCGCCACCCACCCTCTCCCGAAGTACCCCGCAATTTAGAGAGCTGGCTGCATTGACTGGCTCGATGCAAGCTCGTGTTCATGAGGCCTCCGCCTGGCTGCAGTCTTGGCAGACGGGCGCCTGCAGCCAAGAAATCTGGGTAGGAACCACCTTCAACCCTCAATGCGCATGAGGGCCCCTTCAAGGAGTTCGAGTTTTTGGAATCCTTCAGGGCCCACATGCGGGGGCCCGAAGAGTCTTTTGGAATCCCTCAGGGCCCACATGCGGGGCCTGAAGGGTGTTTTGGAACCCTTCAGGGCCCACATGCGGGGACCCGCAGGGTCTGTTGGAATCCCTCAGGGCCCACATGCGGGGGCCCGAAGGGTCTTGTGGAATCCCTCGGGGCCCACATGCGGGGCCCGAAGGAATTTGTGGAATCTGTCAGGGCCCACATGCCGGGCCTGAAGGATTTTGTGGAATCTGTCAGGGCGGGGCCTGAAGGGTTTTCCAAGAGGCTTTGAACAAGGCCAGATTTTTCTGGATTTTGCCGAATGTCTGCAATGGAATGATTCCAATATTCACCCCAAAATTCACTCAAACCTATAAGACTTTCGCCCAAACCAGCCTGGCGCAGAAAAAAAACAACTCGCTCAAAACCCGCCCAAACCCCGGACCTGAACCCTATACAGCTTCCATAAATTATAAACCCTAAGCCCTAAACCCTGAAGCGCAGGGCTTCCGAAGTCTTGTTTTGTCTATTGTTTTTCAAGTTCGGGGGCTGCGAAGAGGAGGCCCTGATCTGGCTTGGGATCTTGGATGCGGGCTTTGGGGGGTCTGAAGGGTTTAGGGTTTAGGGTTTAGGGTTTAAGGTTTAGGGTTTAGGGTTTAGGGGGGTACCTTCTTGGGGCCTTTGTTAGCAGACCAAGGGACCCCCCCCCCCCCCCCCCAATACCCCAATAAGATAAGGCATGTAACTTCTCGGACTCCGAGCTGCCGAGGCCTCTTCGCCGGAGCTCTTTGCATCCACATGGCTGACGGAGTTTTCCTTCGATCTTTGGGTCAACTCTGAACCAAAAAATACCTTGAATTCAGGGTCTGACACCCCTCAAGCCATGGTACACTCCTTCTTCAGGCTAGGGCAACGGAACACCGTAACACTGGTGGCACGCAATGGCTAAAGGGCGAGACGGAAAGACCTGATGCCAGGTGGAGCAAGACCCCGCCTTGTACCCGGAAGCTGCGGACGCGGGGCGGACAAGCGCGGGCCTCGGACTAAGCATGGAAAAACACTTGGCAGCTCTAACGCCCAAACCCGTAAACACTTTCAAAAAACCCTAAAGCCCCCAAACCCCTGAGCTCTTGAAGCACTACAACCCGAAACCCTAACATGAAGGCATCGAAGCGCTGTTGAGGGCTTTTTGAGGCTGTCAAGCCCATCTTGGCATGAGGCAGTCGATGCACACTGCCGGGGCGCCAGCGTTCGCTCTGCCAAGGAGGGGCTGTTGACATATTGCCTGCGCACAGGGTCATGGAAGGTCAGTGTCTCATATCTTCGGGTTCAGCGGACTCGGACTGGCCCGCCGATTCCTGGACATTGGGGCTCATGAGGCCTCTAGCTCTTCTAGGTGCCCCGCCCACCCCCCCCACCCCCCGCCTTGCAACGTCGAGTGCAAGCTGGGCTTCCTGAGAGGAAAGGCCATACTGAACATCTGAATCTCTGCTTGCAGGGCATGGGCCATCATGGGCCAGAATCTTCCTTCGGGCTGGGGAACTAATCATGCTGCTTCTTCACTGTACGTTTTCTGTCAAGCTGTTGTTGTGGAGTAGCCCTATAGCCTTTCCACAAAACCGTTAGATGCCCCCCCACCTAGAAGAAGCCCAAGAACCACCAACAGAGCATGGCAGCTAAGCCCCGGGACGCGGAGCGCTTCGTCGAGCTCGCGGCCCTCGTCGGTAAGGGGCTCCTAAAGCGGTAGCGGTAGTGGCTCTCGGCCTTCGCCAGAAGGGCTCTTGGGATGGCCTTTTCCTTCAGGCGTTCCTATACTCTCTTTATCTCTCTTTCTACGAGCCAGGCTTGGTGGGCTTTGGCTCGCGACCTGCTCTCTCTCCCTTCCTTTCTATCCCTCTCTTTCTCAGGGAGGGCGCTTTCTCTTCTTGTGCGGGTCTTGAGGAAACTCGGACATCCCTCCGCGCCCTCTCTCTGTGTCAGAACCCTGATTCAACAAACAAGAAAAATCCCCTCCTTCCGGGGCATCTGCTTCTCCACGACGTAACCAACCTCCACGGCAACACAATTGCTACAGTCTGCCACTCGACCCAAGGAAGCGCCAGAGTCTACTCCGCGCAGGTTTGAGACAAAGCGTGAGCATCCCCCACCCCCCCAAATGCCTCCTCGCTGCTAGGCGTTGTGGTGGTGCCCGTGCACACGGAAGCCTCTGAGCTTTTCCTGCCTGGCGGCTTTTGCACAGTCCCCTTGCATGCTTCCCTCTCAAGAGCTGTGCTCAAAGCAAGCACTCGGGAGACAACGACGGCCCACATGAACCAGACGTGGACCTCCACCCGTCCTCTCTCCCGTCCTTTTGAAGGACTACACTACAATGCTCAAGATGGTGGTTTGGTACGGGAAATGTGCATCGAATTACGTCCATGCATCTGTAGTGCATTGCTTGAGGGCGGAAATTCGTCCCCGGCTTTTTGGCGAACGAACTTCCACCAGATTCTCTCTTCCATACTTGCCTATTGGGCTTGGCATCAACCAAAGAAACCCCCATTAGCCAAGGATCTCGCTCTCTAGGGTTTGGGGCTTATGTAAGTATGTTGTAATGGGGTTTAGGGTTTACGGTTCATATACCCATTTCCTGCAAACTTAAAACCGTACAAAGCCCGGTAAAAAACCCCAATACGCCCTACAAAGCCCCAGCATATTCCTGGGTTGCTGACACCGGCTTAGACAGGCTCGGGATGGCCTAGGGCCCTAGGGTTTGAGAGCGATGTCCTGAAGTCGGTGCTGTCAGGATGCTCCCATATAAGTCGATCGAGGCCACGGATGTTTTTGACAGGTCTTTTCCACGCGAATCGCTGGGATGATGCTCCTCTATAGGTCTATCAAAGCCGCGGATGTTTTTGAGAGGTCTTTTTTCGCACGAAGTGCTGATGATGCTTCTCTGTTGGTCTATCGAAGCCACGCAAATGCTTGACATGCCTTTTTCGCGCGAATCGCTGTGACGATGCTCCTCTATAGGTCGCTCGAAGCCTCGGGTGTTTTGGACACGAAGCTCTGTCATGATGCTCCCCTATAAGTCTATCGAAACCACGGATTGGTTTGACGAAGTGCTGTCAAAGATGCTCCCTGTAGGTCTATCGAACGCCTGATTTTTCGATCAAAACCTTTCTCGCTGTCCGCTCCCTCTCCCTCCCACGCCTAGGCCAGCAGTTCCGTGCAAGGTTGCAACCTCCGGCCACCAAGGCAACTTCAACTACACACGAATGAGGCTGCACATACTGAAGCTGCAACAATTTGGGAGGTGAGGCAAACCTACCGGTGATTATCAGAATCTGGCCAAGAGGGCTCTGACACTACATGCCGCAACGGCAACCTCTTCATCGTCGCTGTCGGCACCGAAAAAGGTGGAAGTGGTCTGGGCAAATTCATCTGGAGGCTCCTGCGAAGAGGCCCCTGGTGGCTACTCCACTGCCGCATGGGGGGGGGAGGCCTTAAACCCTGAACCCTCCTTGAAGCCTCCGAAGCACTAAAAGCCGGTTCCTCGAAGTCGTCCATGGAGTACTCAGGCGACGCCGGCTCCATGGCTCTGTTTCTGGTTGAGGTGGTCAGTTCTCTCAATTTGGGTCCCCCGCTCTTGTGGGTACCCTGAAGACACGTAGTACCCTAACGGGGTTGTGTTCTGCCAGGGAAACCCAAGAAGGACCCGAACTTAGAGAACTGACCAGGACTGCACAACAAGGCTCCCAGAGTCGTGCTCGGACACATGTCTGTCGGTCAGGTGCTTCATTCGCGACGTGTGAATCCAGCTTCCCGCCCTCAGCTGTGGACCCTCTGCGACTCTGCGACTCAGAGCCCTGCAAAGCCACGCATGGGTGTTTCCTCTGTGGGAAGCCCTTCAACCCGCTCCACTGGCTACTGGCTTCCAGGAAGTACCCCCCATGCTTTCCATGCTTCAGGATTTGCGGCAGCTACGCACATGCAAAGGCAAAAAGAAGCGCCCCAAGCAGGCAATCCACAAGAGCAGTGCGCAGCCCCTTGCACTTTCTCATGCTGAGCAAGCGTCCAGCTAGAGTAAGCCAGTGGGAGGCTAGTGGACGGAATCCTGGATTGGCTCACAATCGCAGGGCTGAGTCCAATGCCAGGGGCAGAAGCTCTGGCAGCTGCGTGATCTAAAGGAGATGCCAGATGCCACATGGACTTTGATGCAGTGCTGATAGATGGACTTCAGCAAGCAACATTCAATCATTCAATCATTCCATGGTGGTGCCTCGACTATCGTGACCAGAACTGACTACAACCCACTACAACCGTTGCCGCCCAGGAGCCCGTCAGATATGGAGGGGGGGGGGGGGTCATGCAGCTGCTCCAAACGGACCGGATGTGCGGCACATTTTGCACAACTCTCTAGCGCATCGTCAGCCCGCTCGAAGCATGAATTGAATTGGAATCCAACTCGCATATCCCCATTCATGGTCGTTGGTGTGTCGTGTCTTTCTTTCTCAAGTGCCCACAGAAAGTCCGAAAACTCCGAACATGCTGTGAGCACAAGGTTCAGTGGTCTGGAATTCCACACGATGCCACTGCGAGTATGACCCCAATGCTGGAGCACGGCTGGATCCTGCTGCCAACCTACCGATTTTTTCATGGACAAGAGATCTGGGGGACATTGTCCAAATTGACCAGCCATGTAGCCATGCTGCCACGTGAGAGCTCAAGCTCTGTAGCGCTGCTCATGCAAAGAGAAGTCCACGGCCCTCAGCGTCAGACCAGTGAGCACTCCAAAGAAATCAAACAACTTCGTCTCAAGACCCCGGCTGCCTTTTTGAAACCAAGCCAGAGCCCGGAGCAGCAATAAATATCCAGAGATAGGCATCTGCAGATGTCTATAAGTGCATACGTGTATGGGTTTTGGCATTGCCGCTTGTGGGGTGGGTCTGCATGCTCAACTTAGCGTCTGCCTGTATGTCTGTATGTGCGAGTTTGGAAAAGGCAGAGGGAGAGAGGGAGAGAGCGAGAGAGCGCACAAGGGACAGAGAGAGGGCCAAGGATTTCTGAAGCCTGAACCCCTCCAACTGTGCCGTCAGCTGCTTGTTCTTCTGAAACATGAAATATCCCACCCATAATGTTGGCCTTGATGAGTCTCTGAGTGTCCCAACGCTTGCAGGATTCTCTGGGCAACCCACCCGGAGTTGCTTCGCCTCTTCGTCCGCGGAAACCTGGCTTGGGGAGTACTCAGAATCCCTTCAACAATCGCAACGCGGCTTTCATCTTTGAATCGAACTCTTCAACTGAATTTACACCTCTCTTAGAAGGTCTGGGTTTTAGAAAAAAGCTTGGGGAACTCAAGTTTCCCCAAACATGGCTGTTGCACCTCGCTGGGCATGTGCTTGGCGAGTGCGAAGCCGATCTGCTGATCTTGCCAGTCGTACACGGTGTAGTACTTGCCTGAGTAGGGTTTAGGGCGTAGGGTTTAAGGGTTCAGAGAATGGTGCAGCAGCGCGACTTGTACTCCCAACAGCTGGGTGCCCCCGCGCAGCACGGGCTCGCCCCAAATGAAAAGCTTCGGGCCCAAGGGCTCAGGAAGCTCCAGGGGCATGATCGTGGGCTGGCCTTTTGGAAACAGGGCTCGGCTTGTTTACGCCGGGAATGCACAAGAGCTCTGCAACTCCACTCACGTGCTGCGTGCGTCCATACAGATGTAAGAACAAAAAGTGATAAGCTGTTCCTTGACTGCAACAGTGCCTATTTATCCATCCAATTTCGTCCAGGGCTGTGGCAGGTGGGCCGAGTGCTGTTGGCACCGGAAGCCGCAGCCTGTCAGATCTTGTATATTTCTACTAAACACTAACTATGGGATAGCCAAGAATTCTGGTGAATCCGAGCCAAAGTTGAGAAAGTTGAGGGCTGTTTAGCCTCGTGGGTCCATCATGGCGCTCTCTACCCTCCCCCCCCTCCTCCCATGTTCGGCACTGCGGATTCCTCGTGCCTTTTTTAGTGGCCTTCGATTCCGAGGTTTGAGTCACACCCTCATCCGGAACTTCAGATCAACAGCTTCGACGGAACGCTTGGGCTCGTCGGCTCTTGGCAGGTAGAAGGGCATGTCCAAGACAAACGCAGTGTCACAGCCCGTCTTGTAGAAAAAGAAACCTCTGGTTGCGACTCAACATGCATAAGGAATGGTGTCCATGACATCGAATCTTGGAATGATCTCATGGAGGATGCTTCGGACTTGTGGATTTCACATTGTGGCCGCTCTGCATCTGACAAAGACAGCTCTCCCACAAGCTGTTAACTCTTGGTTGGGGAGTTCAGGCACCGCGAACGCAACGGGGTACTCTACATCTTGGGACGAAGATCCGCTTCGGTCATCCCGCGAGTCCCTTGACTTGACATGTACACCAAAGAAATAGTCGATCCAGAATTGTCAGCTGAAGAGATTTCTCTTCGGGGCCTTCTCTGCTGGAGGGCTGCTAGGCTCATCCTTCGGCCTCGGCTTGAAATGCTTCGAAGTCCCCCACGACACTCTTCGTTCGAGGGTTGGCGCGTTTAGGTCCAAGGGCACAAGGGCGGTCCGAAGAACTGGCCTTTGGGCTTTAGGGCGCCGGCTCATCAGAGCTGTCCGCCAGCTCATCCTCAGAACGACGGAGAGTTTTTGATTCAAAACTCGAGTCACAGGTCTCCTCCCAAAACAGCCCCTCACAACAGCCGAGTGCTGTACCTCGGCATGCACTGCCTGATGGCACACATGAGCAAACTGAAGCCATCCCTACGACATGCCTCAGTGCTGCCGCCGATGGCTGCTCATCTCAGGCTGTCGAAACAAATTCGGGCTGATCCCAATCTTCGACTGTGTAGGGCGGGACAGCACACGCTCAACTTCGCCTTTGTATGATATATGCTGATTGCCTGACCCTCGGCTGACAACCCCACATCATTCACATCGCATCTCGTACTTCGAACGGGCCTGGCGCGAGTAGTCGCCCGGCTCTAGGGTCAAGGTGGTGCCCTCGACCTCAGCGCCCCGTAGATTGCTGACACTCGAGACTCCGCAGGCTGATATCGAATGGACAACCCAAACAACGTGACGAAGGCTTATGAATCTAAAGTGTCTTTCAGTTCTTTTCAACTCAGGAATCTCGACTTTTCCAGTGAATGCTCCCAGGTCAGCTTCCGGCATCGAAGTGGAGGGGCTCCCCGCGGGCACGGAGGCAATCTACACCTGCGCCAACTTGTCAATTCTCTCGGTGTGCTTTTGGAATCAATCTCGTGTTCAGTACTCTCCTTTTGTTCAACCGAATGCCGCGTTTGCAGACCCTGCCACTGGTGGGAAGGTGCCACGGGGCGAAGGTGAGACGGAGCCCAAGCGGCTACTTGAAGGTTCAGGTTTTTTGCTCTCCGTTATCGAGCTAGAAGAGAACCGCGGACCACGTTCTCAGCGTAAGTATAGCCAGCCTACTTGTGTAAATCTCCATCAAGTGCCTCCTGATCTTTGTTGCTGTTTAGGTTTTAAGGCCTGCTGTTCATGGAGCTGAAGAGCCTTGTGAGCTTTAGTGTCATGGGTTGAAGTGGCCCACGTGGGCCGAGAGCTTCTAAGGTTCTAAGGGATTCTTCCCATGTGCCGTCACACGATGATCTTGTCAGTGCCCTTCAGCCTGGCATCGTCCTCGAAAGATAAGGCCGCTCTGGTTGTGGGATTCGCCCTGTGCATATCAGGGTGGAGGAGATTCGGAGCTTTAGGCATTGGAGTTCTGAGATCAGATGCAGGGAGGACCTCAAGCCTGTGACAGGAAGTTGTCATGGAAGGTCCCTTGCAACATCTCTCATGCACGAGAAATGCCAAGGCATGCGCTTCACAGCCACCAGCATCCAGACGGCGGGGAACCGGCAGAATCTGTGGAGGTCAAGCAGATTTCATGCTGCGTTGGATGCATATCGGCGAAAAGCAAGTCTCTGGGCAATATAATAGCAGTCGCGCTACTGAATCATACTTCGACTCCCCCCTCCCCCCCCCCCCCCCCCC